CTCTCTTCACCATACCCAAGAGAACCTCTTGGAAACCCGCCGGCCAGGGTGCAATCCTCAATTCGCATACCTTCCTGATTCCTCTCTGATTCATCCCTGAGCTCTTTTTGTGCTGGAGACAGAAAGCTCCATCACCCCAAATAGCGCAAACCAACCCATACCAGGGTCCCGTCTCCTACTCCCTCTACCTCAACTCCTACCTACGAACTGCCCAAACCAGTCAATCCCCTTCCAAAAATCCGCCTACCATGTCGACAATATCCCCTTCCCAGTCCCGCGAGGAGTCCCTGGACACCTTGACAGCCACGGTGAACCAGACGGTATGTCTTAAGTCTATCTCTTCTTCTTCTTCTTCTTCTTCTTCTTCTTCTTCTTCTTCTTCTTCTTCTTCTTCTTCTGCTTCTTCTTCTTCTTCTTCTTCTTCTTCTTCTGCTTCTTCTTCTTCTTCTTCTTCTGCTTCTTCTTCTTCTTCTTCTTCTTCTTCTTCTTCTTCTTCTTCTTCTTCTTCTTCTTCTGCTTCTTCTTCTTCTGCTTCTTCTTCTTCTGCTTCTTCTGCTTCTTCTTCTTCTCATATTTTCACCAAGCATACACGCACGGTAAGAGAACCAAAACTAACAACAAATCCCCAGCTAATCGAAACTGCCCGCTTCTTCCGCGCATCCGGCTCCACACGCGCCCGCGTCCACCTAAAACATAACCTCCCCGTAACCTACGAGCAGTTCCAGAAGGCGCTGGATAATCTGTCTGAGCAGATTGTACGTATGGCATTTCCACCTTCTTATGGATATAATTCGTTTTGGCGGATTACGGAAGAAAAGCTAACCGTGCAAAATCACATTCATCCAGTTCATCGCCAAGGCCTTCCTGGAACGGGACTACGATGCAGCTGCGCAGCGGAAGGAAGCGGCCCGGAGTTCGAAGAATGCTCTTTCTGGAGAGGATGGTGCAAAGGATGGGGTGGTGAAGAATAGCAATGGCCACGGTAATGGCCAAGGAGCAACGGAGGCTGTGGGCTCGTCTCAAGCACAGGCAGGGCCATCTGGACAGTTTACTACGGATACGCAACAACAACAACAACAACAACAACAACAACAACAACAACAACAACAACAACAACAACAACTACCATTGTCGAACGGATCGAATACGGGGAATGATAATCTATCACTGGATGCATCTGCGCCGACGCAAGCAGCGCATGCTATTAATTTCGACTCCCTGTTTCCCGCTTCGGACACTAATAATAACAACGCCAATGATGATGATGATGATAATGATGATGATAATAATAATCATAATAACAACAATAACATCACCTCTACTTCGACTGCGAACCCCAACGCCAACGCCTTCGACATCCCCCATACTGCCCCTGATACCATCAATACAAATACCAATACAAATACTACAGGCAGGGACATAAACACACTCACCTCCCTTCTGCCCGGACTGGAAAGCTACGCCAGCGCCGCGGGCGATGAGTTTGGGTTTGAGATGGGCGGGGTTCAGAATGAGGGGACGGTAGTAGTGGGAATGGTACTGGTGGGAATGCGGATGGGAACGGTAACGCGAACGCTAACGCTAATGCTAATGCTAATGCTAATGCTAACGTATCTGGACCTGGGAATGGGACGGCGAATGTGAGGAAGGGAATGGGATTGAATGCGGGTATGAATATGGATATGGATATGAATATGATGAATATGGGGATGGGGATGAATGGTGGGAATTTGCATATGGATGAGCAGCATCAGCAAGGGATGGGGATGGAAATGGGAATGGGCATGGGAATGGGCATGGGCATGGGCATGGGGGAGTCGAGTTTTGAGGATTTATTTGTTGGGGCTGGTGCTGATGGAGGCGGTGGGGCGGGGGAGGGTCATGGGCATGGTGGGCATGGAGAGCATGGGGAGGATTTGTTGGGGGATATGGAGATTGGGGAGTTGGATGATTCGTGGTTTAAGTGAGGTTATTTATTTATTTGTTTATTTATTTATATTTCTCGCATAATAAGATGCTGCTACGTGAGGGGATGAGTTTTTAGACTTTAGAATTTTAGAGCTGTGGGATGGAATTTGAGATTGGATGGGGAAGGATCTCTTCTTTTGTATGTGTGGTAACTCCATCTGGGGGTTTAGGGGGGTTTTTGTGGTTGATTAATAGGATATGTTGGGAACTCAAATCTGCATTTAATAATATATTAATGAGATAGATAAATCTCAACACATAAAGCCCTTTTACCAGCTGATGCTGATAAGGACACCAGAATTGAGTAGTGGGGAATTTTAAGCCTTTTTTTTTTCTTTTTTTTTTTTTTTTTTTTTTTTTTTAAAAAAAAAAAAAAAGCATTCCATTCCAAAAATGCAGCAAAAATCTCTCAACAAGATGTGAACATATAATTAGTTGTGTGATCGGTAACTTAACTAGCGCCCAGGAAACAATCCAAAAATGCAAAACGCAAAATGCCGATGCTAAAACAAATGCATAGTCAGATCCCATCTATATATCCACTCAATAGCCAACCCAAAGACCAAAAAGTAAAAAAAGAAAAAAAAGAAAAAAAAGAAAAGAAAAAAAAAAAGAAAAAAAAAAGATAATAATAATAATAATAATACACCTCCACTTCCCTCCCCTCTGCACAAAACTACCCTTTTACCCACCCCCTTCCCTCCCGTCCACCTCTCCACCATCCCCAACTCTAACCCACTCCCTCGGCACATCCATACTGCGATGCACCCTCCCCCCAGGCGTCAATGGCACATTCATCAACGACCTCCCCCGCATGCCCTCCTCGTACTCCCGCTCCGCAACCTGCAGCCGCTCAAAGTAATCATCCAGCCCGGCACGCGGGTCATCGTCGGGGACGATGGAGGTATAATCTGGCGGCGGGGTAGGGAGGGGTGGAGGTGGTGGGGGCAGTTCTTCGAAGGAGGGCGGGCCGAAGGACGGGGCGCGAAGGAGGTGGATGGGACGTGGTGGTTCAGGGGAGACGGCGATGTGCGCTGCTGGTGGGCGGGTGGGTATGGAGGAAGAGGGGGTGGAGGCGCTGGTGCTGGTGCTGGTGCTGGCGTTAGTTTTTGTGCAGTCGATGTCGGAAACGTGAGGGGCGTTTCGCGTTGAGGGGGGTATGTTGCTGGTGTTGTTTCGGCTGCTGTCGTAATCCCTCGTGGCGAGTTTGCAGCCGCAGTACATGTTTTGGGATTGGGGTTGGCATAAATACTGAGCTGTGGGTTCGCATGGGGAGGAATAGGCTGGTAGGTAGAGGTTTGATTGTGCAGCGAGGCAGGACATGATGTGAAGCGGGGAGTCGATGGAGATTTCGAAATGGCGCCGTTTGGTAGGGTCCTTTTCGTCTGGGCGGGAGAGGCGGAGGACGATCTGTGGATTTCCCTGTTGGCTGAATTTTCTGGAATGCAATGTATGTAAATATATATGTATTTAAACTTACCTTTATCCAATGGTTTATTTGTAGTTGCTCATGCGTAGTGTCAAAATGTAACGCGCGGCTGGTGTCCTTTTTCTTAAGCTCACCACAGGTAGGAAGCTGCACGCTGAACTCCATCTCTGTTGGGCCCACCCCGAAGTCCGTTTCCAGATCCCCCAGAAGATTCGAACTCCGGGGATTTACATACTCTATCCCCTCAGCTGCCTGCCTTCGAGCATCGTGCGCAACACCTCCACCAGCAGTTACTCTGCAAACACTGCCAGGGAACGTACTTGAGCTTCGCGCAGCCGCACGCTTCTCGAAAAGCAGAACCTTCTTGCTCGCCTCAAGTCTATGATACTCCTTGTTATTGGTCACAACCTGTGTGCTTTCCGTCACATAAACCTTGATGCGATGGCACGACACCTTCGCCAGGGGTGTAAATTTAAAGGCAATGGGCACCTGCGAGCCAAGCGGGAAAGATTTGCCGGAAATGATGATGTCGTAGTGTAACTGGTCATCCCATGTCCGCGAAATGGCGATGGGCTCGACATGCTCCAGGGAGCCTTCGGCAGGCGTGCGGATAAAAGGGACCTCCCTGTGCCCAAGGAGATTGGGGCGGAATGCTCCCGATCGTTCAACGCTTGCCTCTAATGCGTACCTTACCCAGCCCGCGCTCGAATTGATAGTTTCGGAATACCGCGAGGAGATCGGAAGCTCAAAATTGTACCAGTAGTCACCGGGATGGAAGAGCTTGTAGCCTCTCGATGCTACACTTGGTCCACCGTGCGAGGTTTCGCCTTTGCCAAAACTCCGTGAATAATTCGCTCGGAGAGATAAACGTTTGACATCCTTTGGCGAGCTCGCTAGAGATGTCTGACTGCATTTTGGGAGCAAATCGATTGCAAACGCCAACTCCTTCGTCGACACCGCTGCCGCCTTCAACTGCGCATAGTCCGCCCCATTGCTATATTCCGCATTAGGGAGTTGTGCATTGAATAACATCCATGTATGATTTAGTATTACGTGTTGCTCGTGGAACTGGTTTTTCTTGTATGGTAAGCCTAGGATAAGAGAATTAGCCTCGATCTCCAAGAGGTTTTTTTCAAGATATGGCAAATGATATGTACCCTCGGGCCAGTATGTCTGCCCCAATCCCTTAAAATTCAAAGATATCTTTTTAATCTTTGCGGACTTTGATAAACTTAAATGTAATGTCCCTCTAAGAATCGAAGTCTTCCTTGTGTCCATATCATTACGGTCAAATCCCTCAAGAAACAGTACCGGTTCAGCCAGAGATATCGAAACGGTAATTCCGTTTGACGAGGCGACTACTTTCTCGTGTCGTGGTAGTGTAGAGGTAGGCAGCCGTGCGTCTTGAATACATGGTGTATTGCTCCTGTCCACTGGCGATACCGGACGGCTCCGTGAGGATCGGTAAAATGAGGATTCCGATCTCGGTGACTCCGAAACATCTGCCACTGGCACCCGATGTAACAACATATCCCATGCCCTGCGGGAATGGATATTAAAGAAGGTCTGCTACCGTGAGACTTCCGGTTTATAGTAAGGGGGTCTTGAAGGGTTTCTTGAGATAGAGGCGGTCGTATGCGGGAAGAGTCAAAAGAAACGTTTCGTATTATCACGAGGTCGCGCCAGAGTAGCTATTTACAGCAATAAACCTTTAATGTACACATGGAATGGTGGCGATGACGCCGGGCGGGTATTATCGCGGTTGAAACTACCCGTGGAATACACCTGATAGAGAATTATCTCCAAGAAACGAGCGTGGCTTTAACGAGAGGAGAAAAAGCTACAGAAAACGTCAGAGATAATAACTGACAATCGTATAGACAATCCAACGTTTTGCCAAAAGCCAATCAGCATCGAAAAGGGCCGTGTCGAATGATGTGAGAGCGGAATTGCGTATTATGAGATTCGGGCAGAATTGCTGCCCGCGGCAAGATAAACCGACTGAACAGGAAGGATTATCAATCAATAATTGGAAAGGAAAGGGGAATTTTATCTACCCTCGTGCATCTGGAGAAAATTCTTGCTGTCTGTTTCGTTTCCAACGTCTCTCGGTCGACTGGAAACTCTGCTGCAAATGCGCCACAGGAGAATAAGGCGCAGGATATTTCACAAAGTCAGGTAGACGAACGGGAACCTGTCACCAGCGAAAATTCACGGCGGAGACGTGAAGAAAGAAAAAATGAGATTTTGTTTTGGGCGAAGGAGAGATTACGACGGTGATGGAGGTGAACAGGTAAAAAATCATTATTGTTGCCCACGTTTAACTGCAGTGAGCGGGCTTCTCTGCTTATGATGACTCGGGAGCCACGGGTACGGAGATCCTGCAGGTGGATGCCAACCGGGTGGCTGGTTTACACATAAACCTTGTTTAAATAGTTTAACTGGGAACTTATTCACTCATCAATAAGTGAGTTGCTGTGGCTAAGTCAACAATCAGGGCTGAGACGGCTGATCTAGGCCTTTCATCTGGAGTTTAACCAGCAAATCTACGCCCCAGTTAGCTTTTATCCCACGGCATTGACACTTCGGACGTTCCAAGGTTTCTCCTCTCTTTCTTATCCTATAATTGACTCAAACCGGTAATAGACAAAAGTAAGGTCGGTCGTTGACAAACCGGGACGGGAGTTTTGAACAATTCTTACTTGGTTATGCATTCTCTGATTCCGTTTGAATCCATGGTTCGGTATACGCTGGCATCTGGCAGCTAATAGCTCATTTCCCATCTCTTTTGCGGCAAGCTAGTCGCCAGGCAGTGTCAAGCTGTCCGCAGGTTCCCACGCAGATCTGTTGCAATGACCGCATTTTTACGTCCAATACCCTTGCGTCTGTTTCACAGTACATGCATCTGTGACTCGGGACTTCTCTTGGGTGTTTTTTTCTGTGCCGTGATTATCATCAACAAGTTGATCAATCATTACTTGAACAGGTTAACATAGGAGGTTCTGCGGTAAGCTTTTTCATAACTACCACCCATCCATCCGCTTTTTTAAACCAAGACCAGCCAATGAGTTGGATTAGATAACTAATCGTCATGAATCCCCGGCCCCTCTGCGCATCAGTTCGTTGTTATTGATCGGCTAACGATTTGATGGCGTTGGCTCTCAGGGCAGGCTGAAGGAAATGTGATTGCAAATACTGTCGGGCTTGACAACAACTAGTTACAGTGTGAAAACAAGGTCTGGCAACGTTTCGTCCCCCAAATGGCAAGTGGGGCTCGTTGTCGTCCTCAATAACGTGAGATATTTTAAACAACCAGGCGAAAATATCAGGCGTCTAAAGGAATACGAATAGAAGTGGGTCGGTCGGATTGCTACACAATAGACTGTTTATGTATAACTGACTAACATAATCTAAATCTAACAACCAAGTTGTGTCTTAACAGTTACTGGGAATATGACTATTTTATATTTTTATAATTAAAAATCAGAATAAATAGTAATAATTAAAAATATTTATCTTAATTATAAGCTTATTGAATTAATATTTATATATTTTTTATTTTAAATTAAATTATTAAATATAGAAATTAAAAAATTATATATTATTATAATTAATATTTAAAAAATATTAATACTTTTTAAAATAAACATAATATAAATTATATTTTAAAATTTTATAATAATAATTATTATTATTAAATTTTTTTAAAAAAAATTCATTATATTATTAATTAATTAAAACTAAAGTTTAAAGTTTGAAAATTTTTCAAATATAATTTTTACTTTATTATATAGTTTTATTGTAGTTAAACTTTTATTCAAGATTATTTCTTAAATAATTATATATATTATACTTAATCAGTTTAATTAAAATATTATTAATTTCGACTTAGCTGAAATTGCGATATCAATAGATGTAAAATATAAGACTGAAAGTCATTAAATTTACAAGACTTAAAACATTAAACTTTAAACTGTACGTGATCTGCCTCCGTACGCCCGTGATTCGCATCACCCGAATCTATCCGACTGCATGTCTCTACACAAAGTTACGCTTCGAATCCTGCTCGCATTCCCACGTATATAAAGGGGGCTTGATTCCTTTTCCTTGTATTAAAAGGGAAGATAAATAGTTTTACATCTATATAAGGTTGATATACATTAATTATTAGCCGTCCTTGACCAGTAGTTGCGCTCACCCTGCTGCACGTGATATGCTAGCTTCTGGTTTCTGCATAAGACTAACCTGACAGACTCAGCTGATTACAGAGAGAGGAAACCGGTGACTTGACTGCTCCGCTGATAGATGATGATTCAGAGTGCTATTTGAAGATGATGAATGACTCAAGACAGATTCTTAATCATAAATACACCATCTAGGTCTCTAAAGCTGCTTGATCACATTGAGCAGAAATGATTTAAGTATCTAAACTGCCTTCTTCTAGGCGTAATATCTTTCTAGTTTCTCAGGTGCTATGCAGATTCTGCGCCTGTATCAAGCAGAACTTCAAGAAAAAGTGTCAATGGATGAATGTGAAGATGCTAAATGCTTTTTCCGCCACTAAGTATTGGAATCAATATCATCATCAAAAGTTGAAAGATGATATCAGAGACTTCATATCAGACCTAACTCTTTAAATATATATTGAAAGATCCTTCAGTTTAATCTATGAGAGAAAGATAAGGAAGAAGATCAATTGAAAAATATTACGAGGATTGACTAAAAATGTATTATAACTTTTTTAAATTTCTCTTAAGCATCAGAACAGATTTTATTCAGTGACTAAATCATTTCATAGTTAGTACTGACTCAAAGTCAGCTTGTATTCAAGATGATCTATAACTGTACTGTCTCATGAAAAGACATTGGAAGAAGTTAGTTGTCTATTTGAATGATCCTACCAAGATCATCAAAATGATTGTTGTTATCATCAAGAAGAAGTTTGGTCGCAGTCAGCAATTAATTTTACTCTATCTGTTCTTGCAGCTAACTGAGTTTCAGTCAATTGACTACAGACCCAGCTGAATTTATGGCTATTAACACGTCAAGGTTATTCTCCTCAAGAATTTTGATTTGTATCAGAGCAACTCTTTTCAGTGGCCTCTGTCGTCGCTTTACAAGGGTGCGGCCGTGGACAGAGGGAGCTGCATCAGGGCCACCGAACGACACTGTCCACGTGATCACCTGATGGATCGATCGAACGGCCGTTGCCACGATGTTTCCCTCCAAGGGCCACCAGAAACGGTTCCCTCAATTCGATCCTTTTGTCACCCCGTCACACGTCGCTCGGCTCATCCGCTAGCGATTAGGGCTCTACATAAGGCTAGCCGTTCCTCTCCAACTCCGTCCATTCTGCCTTCTTCCAGACGTGGAAGGATAATATGCACACTCGTTTGCACCATTCAGCGTCCGGCCTCTCTTCACTCCACAGAGGGTGTCGCTCTCCTTTCCTCCAATCGCCGCCCAAGCTGCTCAACTTCGTCTAATCCATCGCCGTTAGTAGGAGCGTGGAGACGGCCGCAAACTACGACACGGGGGAGGCCCTGCCAATCAGCCTCCAGCACCGGCACCGATGATGACACCGCTGACGAGTTGTTCGCCGCGGATGTGGGGCAGCGAGACTGACCGTGGCTACAAGACTAAGTTGACCGACCCAGACATAAGTGGCTCCCGCGCTGGACGCCGGGGCAAAGAACATGAGTGACAACAACACTGTGGTGCCAGAACAACACCTGCACTGAAGCAGGGCACAAAAGGAGTCAATCGATCCGGCTCTTCATCATAGCCTCTACGAGGGCCCCCCAGATGGCACGGATGAGGACCCGTCGGACGTTTCGTCCGATTATTGGGGTTCCGCACACACAAAGACCAAGAAACTCAAGTTGCGGGTGAGGGATCGCTGGCCCCATTCATTATTGATAGACTGCGTGTCATGTTCGGCGCTCACACCAGGAAGATATTGCGCGAGGAAGGCGCCAGATCCTGCCGCTGATTCAAAATGGAGAGCTCGATCCCGAGAAGGCGCTCCAAGGGGCGTCCGCGAAGGATCTGCACCGGTTCTGGAATTGGTTCCTTGGGAAGCGGGATCGTGGAAAGAGGAGGGGGGTGCAAACTCAAAGGCACAAAGGAGACAAGTTCGCTCGCTGGCGACTGGAAGTGTTTCTCAAGGGTAACTACAGGAAAGTGACAGGGAATCAAGTCAGTGAGGAGAGTGCGTCCGCGCGATCCCGTCTGCATGTCCATGCAACACCGACGTCCGCTGATAAAAGGGCCGATGAACAAACATAGATATGGTTGCCTTGGCAGAAACCAAAGCCACGTGACCAAAGCCCTCGCCCAGAAGATATGCCGGATCCTCATCACGTGATATATATATATATATATATTCCACTCGTTTAACATCCTTTGCAATCGATCAAGCTTGCCATTCGGTCACTCGGAAGGTCTACCAGGTCTACCAAAGGATTCCATCAAGCATCATGTATATAAAGACTAGACGCTCATGGCCCTTAGGATCGAAGAGCTTATCTTCTTGATCACGATCAAATAGCATTCTCAGTTTCATGCAAAGAGTCTAATTTCCTCTACCTTCCACTTATCTGCTATTTTAACCATAGATATAGGTTTAGGCTCCCTTCAGGATGCCCCTATACCGCCTTTATAACTCCCGAGGACATTCGAGCTATAAACCACCACCCGTAGCCATCGTCACTAAAGAGGTCAATGACCCTATTACGTTACTAGAGTGGCCAACTACATACCCTTCCGGATGCTGTGTCACGAACCCTAAATAGTCCTTTTACTGCAGCATTCATTAGTACATGACAAAGCTGTTGCTTTATCTTGGTCGATATTCAAAACTCCCAATGGAGTTTACAAATGTCGATGTGACCGAGATCATCTTCCAGCAGCGGTTAGCGAAACGGGACTATTGAATGATATTCTTGCTGGTTGTCCGAGGCAAGACCTGTGTCATGAAGGTGGCGGGGTAGACTCCTGTCTGCTTTGACTCTCCTGCAGATGTATTTATTCTCTGCTGCTTTCAACAGCGACCATGGGTCAAGGCCCTAAACCAGCCATGGGACTCACAGATCTGTGACACAAATATCTTTATCTGCAAATCGACAGCCTATCGGCGCTTGACACACGCTGGAGTCTGCGACCCGAGGTATACCTCCTCAGTTCTATGGAATGATTAAAAATATCAATCCGACACAGTGCCTACCACCACATCTTGAGGCGTTTGTCAAAGATGAATATCCACCAACAGCTATCATCTTTGAGAACATTCCCAACATCAAAGAGCTGAATTGGGCCAATTACAATGAAAAAAGGATGCAAAATTTTTGTTAAGAGGTTGAACACAATCCATGATGCACTAGTCTATCATGACGATGTTCATCCCAGGAGTATGGTTATTGTCTGTATCCTCTGCTCCCTGCACAGCTATTTATACTCACCTTTAACTAATCTTATTGGATCTCTGGAACTACAGAAAACACGATTTCCTCAAGGGGAAATTTGATTAAACACGCCAGTACTATCGGTAACCTTAAGGAAGGCAGACCTAATCGCAGGGGTTTGGTTCATCCACTACAAGTTAAGAAGATACCTCTACTTGGTCGACTACCAAATTGATGGCGTTCAGAGCTCGGAAGTTGAGGCGCCTGCCGATGAAAATATACATTAGTTGCTCGAATCTCTGACCTAGCTAATATACAGGCAGCGTTTTGCTCTGCAACCAACAAACCAAAAATAAATAAAATTGGGAACTTCGTAATCCGCTAGCAGCCCGTGCTTTTCCATCATTCTATTTTAAGCGAATTCACCTGCAGGGTCGCCTTGGATCTGCCCGGGAAGCGCTCGGCAATCTCAACCCCATGACTCTCTCTCCTCCCTGAGTGAGTTCCTTCAGCAGCGCGTTGTCTTCTTGAGGCAAACGGCACACGCACACCGGTCGCGACAGACGGCTGCTTTTTCTCGACTGGGACTCGACAGACCGATTGCATTCACCGATACGAGCCGGCCGGCCTCCTCGTGATAGATAGAACGTCATAGTGTAGCACACACTCTGGACCCAGTCAAGTGGCTTGAAAGAAAGCTGGAGATCGGTATGTCGTCACCGTATCATCTATTGGAACAGCGGGCACACCAGGGGAATCACTGGCTGGAATTTTACCGTGCCTCTTCGTTGGATTCCGCGACCTCCCTATCACGTATCACAGCAGTCGGGGAAGGATCTCCTGCGCAAGCTATGGAAGAGACAGCAGGCCCCGGAGGAGGGCTGCGCTGAGAGTCTCCGTCGCTTCCGCAGCCCCATAGTGACATGGTCATCATCATCGTTTTCCTGATGCACCTCATCGTCACCGTCGTCGCTACAATCGCTAGAGTCATTGAAGTCACTGTTGTTGCTGGGGTCGCTAGGATCTCTCCTATCCCCTCACCCCTCTATCTATCTCCTGGAGAGCGTCTGGTGGGGAAGGAATCTCGACTCGAACACCCATGCGTCACACACACACACACACACACACACACACACACAGCCAGCGTCACCGACCCACCAGTCGGCGCTCTTCCCTATCGCGCCTTCCAGGGTTGGCGGGAGTGCCAGGCTCCGATTTGGCTCCCGAGCTGGAAGATGTGTTATCCGCAATCCCTTCGCCCGTGGCACCGGTGCACGTATCAAACGAATGGTTTTGGATTCGATGTCATTCGGAGAGAATCCTCTCCATCGCTCTCCAAGTCCACGAGGATCGGTTGCTCTGTTGAAAGCTGTCAGAAGCACAGCTCCAGAGACAATGACAGAGAGAAGTGTTCTAACTTATCTTGGCTGGATTTTGACCTTGGTAACTCCGTTAAACTGTACGGGTGTTGGCCAGAGAAACCACCAAGCCTGGTGGCACACATGAAGCTTCCAGTTCAGACTCGTCCCAGCACGGTATTGCTACCGGGGAGAGGGAGGTGATTTTCTGAGGTGATGATTGATCGGCCTTCTGGGAGGGTTTATCACTTGAGGCTTCCCTTCAGGGCCTGGGTCTGGCGCAGTTGAACTCAAGAATAATTGAATAAATGCAAGATAGCATATTCAGCGGAGAACTCCAGCCGGGTGAAGCGTGGGTCTCCAGCGGCTATTTGATATAAATTGATGGACGAATATCGCGCACGTCTCTTCGTTCGGCGGTCCTCCCATCCGGGAGGGGAGGCTGGCTACGCTACAGTTATACGAGCTATCTAGATCACGTGTAGTAGGCGCTAACAATTGAATCTCCGATTCGTGAACCAACAAGCCTTGGAAAGTAGGGGCAACTTCAATCACTTCAGAGCAGCAGTTCTTCTCATGGAACACGAGGACGGATTGAAGTGCATCGAATGATTGAAGAACGCTGGTGACGTGGATGAGAGCTTCAAGGATCAAGAATATAAAGCCGATGTCTTGAAGCCATACTCTCTTTAAAACATGAACCGTTTGAGAGTTTTGCTCCTAGCGCTCGCTTCAGGCTTTGGGAATTCCGGGACACTCGTCCGACTTGAAGCCATGTAACTGAAACTCCTGAGTGGAAAGGGACGATGGATAAATATCTGATGATTGATCGAACCATTTTCCCATTGGCTATTTAAAACTCCCCCGCCAAAGGAAAAATGTATCTTTCCCCGCTCCAACTCTCCAAATTCCCTCTGGCAGAGCCTCAATTCCTGACTCCAGATTCTTCCTCTTTGCAATTCTCAGAACAAATCGTGGTTTACATTTCAGAGCTATTCATGGAAGCCATTAAAACCTTCTCAAGCTAAGCCGGAGGAGAAAGCTACTCCATCCCTATATCGGAGCATAGTTCTCCATCAATCAAAAGAGGTCTAGCCTCCTCTTCAAAAGTCAACAAAAAGCTGGTCGTTAAAAGATCGCCTTGCCGTCACTTGAGACCCACATGCGGTGTGCAGCAAGACCTCCCTGCCCATGGCCAAAGACGTTGTTCTAACTTGTACCAATGATTGGATTTTAATGAACCCCTTGTTTTTGGTCTACCCATTTCGAAGCCCGTGTTGTTTGACTACCAAATTCTTCCCCCACCATTTTTCTTTTCCGACACCCAGCACTGATTTAGTCTGACTATATCCGAGCAAGGAGAAGACATTGATCGTGTCTGCCTCCACAGTACCTAAACTGTTGTTGAATCGTTTTCCTCATTGACCATTTTCTACCCTGTTTCTCGGCCTTCTGAATTTCTTTATCTGTTATCCCTTGGGTCTTTTCCTTGTTTGCCTGTTGCTAATCAACATTTATTAGTTCCTAGAAAGCTTGGGAATAACAGCAATCGTTCTGCCACTCCGAGGACGAGTGAAGAGGGATATATGTCACTGAAGTAACCCGTCAGCTTCAACGAGCAACTATGTATAAGTCAAATGTTCTCTTATTTTGTTTCCAAAGGATTGCGTTTATCTGAACTGTATTCACACGCTTACCCTCTCATATAAATTCCAGTCTCAAGTTAGGAACCTCTGTCCCTTGTTTCTCCTGGTATTTCCAGGCATTTTCCAGGTGGTCTGTCTATGCTCAATATTTTTTTGGCTTCGGTGTGATCTGGTCGGAGGAACACTTTGTATGTTGATTTCTGATTCGTTATGCGCTTTGAAAGACACCTGCTTTTTCTGTCTAATGAAAGGACTAAGGTTTACGAATGTCACCACGATGTCTCCTACCCTCGAACGTATAAGAAGTTTAACGGAGGACGCCACTAGCCAAGGGAATATGCTGCGACGAAATGCGTATACTCAGCTTAAATCACTCACTGGCATTCAGCATTCCCCTTCTCTGAAAAGGGAAACTGCCGGAATCCGACCGCGGCATGAATATAAGAGCTATTTCGCATACCTAGATTCTAGATCGTTGAATCGCTCTAAACATCCGCATCCCAGAAAGAGATTGGAGGATTATCAGGAGGATACTGAATCCAAGAGCGACAGCGAGGGAAGAGATGGTGATGTTACTAGTGATGATGAGAGTGTTAGTGAGAGTGTAGATGAGGAGGAGGAAGGAGAGGGAGGAGAAGATGAAGAACCCGAACTCACAGGACCTAGTGCCTCAGTACCGGCAGGGGGCCCACCTAGGGTTTTAGGCACTGGGACTGTTCCAACAGAATCCGTGGACTCCGGAACTGGGGGCTCCTCTACCGGAATCTCAGCAAACCCATCGTCTTCGAATGCTGGTTTGCCTAAGAACCCGGCACATCTAGCGGTCCTAATTACAGGGATAATAGGTAAGCTTAGCAAAACTCGTGGTTAGATTCCCTAAAATTCGAATTGCTTGAAATCTAACATTATGCTTCTGTACGATCAGTTGCCGTCGTTTTCTTCTTGTTTGTGGTGGCTTGTATGATGGTGCGATCTAAAAAGCGACAAAAGCCTGGAGGTCTTTATAGTAGATACCAAGATCTGCGTCGAAAAGCTGGGGTAGGTCCACAGCCAAACGCTGTCAGTGGAAGCGATAAAACCATCCAACTCGAAAAGGGTAGCATGATGCCAACCGTTCCATCATACTGGGATCCAGTGTCCAGTTTTTCCAAACCATTCATCCAGTTGGAATGGCGCAACACCCAGAAGAGCTGTACTTCGGTATTATGTAGGGTTGTCACTGGAGCAAAATCTAGCATCCCCCATATCAAAGCCAGGCCTAAATCTTTAGTTTTAAGAGGCCCAGACTTCAATCCTGCGATTCCCAAGGCGGTGGCCGGCTACGATGAAATTCAACCTCTAGCAAAGGTACACACTACCGATTCCAACAAGTCTTCGCCACTTCTTGCGCAGGGCCAAGAAAATGGGGAAGTCCAGAAAACTCTGCCATATATATCTAAGTTCTCGTGGACAAATACTCCATCGACAAACACAATACCCTCAATATATTTATCCCAGACTCCACAAAATCCATTTATAATTGATGAGAACGATGCTGCAACCACATACACAGATGATACCGAGCCTCCTCGCTTTAGGAGCACGACGAGCTGGGTACAGCAACAGCAGATCAAGAACCAACAACATGCCCAGTCAAACCCCTATAGACCTAAACCACCACCTAATGATACTGAATATTCTGGATTGGAAAACCCAAGACCTCCCAGCGGGGCTCTAATAGGCGTTGCGATTTAACGAACAATGTTAGAAACTGGCTGCTTTTGTCTTGAAAGGAGAGTGGTTCCAGACGTGTTGCCTGGAGCCCCCGGATTACCTATATTTTGAAAGTTCACCTATTATTTAGGGGTGGGATTGGCTGAAACATTCTCTTTTTAGACCTGCAAAACTTGTTCACAGGGTTTTTCGCCTGTTTCCAACCAGGTGATCTGTGTCTCTCAAAACGAAAATGTCTTTCAGTAAACTCCAGGCTCAGCAAATCAATACAAGATTTCCCAAGTTCTTGCAGTTCCATTTTGTTCCTTTTCCTTGTTTTTCTCTTGCAATATTCCTATTTTTGATTTTGTTCTATTCTCAAGTTCTACATCAGAGTGAACGCTGTTCTTTACTCATGTGTTGTCTACTTTCTTTTTTGCCCCTCCTGGATGGTATATATGGTGGATATAAACAGGATGGCATGGGAACATGTGAGATGCACTACTGCACTGGCAAACGGGAAATATGTGTTCGGAGTGTTTTTCTTGTCCCGTTGCTCAAATTAAGAGTCTGCGCATTATTTACAAACCCTAGGCGATCTTCGTATAATTGGCTTTGTATTCTGTCCATCAGACATCTCTGCAAACACAACATGAAGTCTCAAGCAGTGTCCCTGACAATCTGCTTGCAAGCAAGGTTACGAAGCACTCAATCCTAGGCATAAATCACAGTGCAGTGATCATACTGACAGAAAACATCCTCCTGCGATAATGAATTAATTGGCTGGCGGAGCAGGAAACGAAATTGAAAAATTGAAACTTTTCCAGTTGAATAACACAAGTTTTTGAGAAGCAAGAACAGCAACAGTTGACTAGAAAGGGTACTGAAAGATGTAAGGCATGGTCAATTAAATAGGCACCTGATTTGAGTGGTGCCTAGTTAGATATCCTCTGGAGATCGAGGACATCATCCACTGATTTAAACCCATTTTAGCAGCTTCTCGGGGGGTGGGGGCATTGGCGACCTTTCAACTAGTTACCTCGTCTGTCCAGCAAAAGAGAAATTCGAAAGTGGAAATTGGAAATGTACTACAACTTGTCCAGGTAGCTACTGGATGGGTATCCACTGCATGCGATGCTTAATTTAACCCCTGATTTTGAATGGGGGTACATACATTAATAACATCAATAATAAGATCACAAAAAAGATCATCTCAGAGACACAAATAAACAGATACTGTTTGCTGAATAAAAAATAGGTACGTGTTCAAGTAGTATAATTGATAAAGATTTTTTGTTCATCTTTACATCAAGCCAGTTTATTTGATTGAGAAAGGAATAGTTGTATGAAGCGAAGCAGAGATACACACCCAACAGAAGCTTGATATCATACATGTAAATGTACAAGATAAACGTCTCTTTGGTAGTAAAACAGATTCAAATTGCATTGAATTCGAGTCAAAATCATACGGCATATATCATTCCTCTTATACTGCTCGGTCAGTAGTAGAAATAATAATGCTACTTGTTTTCACCTGGCTGCACAGTGCCTGCTGTCCCGTATGTCTTCGATGAAACCACAAAATAGACCTACGGAGAGGAAGCGGGTTTATGACCTTGGAATCTTTCTTTTCACCTTCGTATTATCGCGTCAATTACCTGGCGGCATATCAGTGGGGATAAACCGACTTAGTCAATTTAGTCAATCTAAACCGGGTCAACATGTCAAGATTTCGGTTTCTGACCTCACTACGTAAGATATGGGAGACATCATAACAGAGTAAGCTATGACACCTGCAGAGAGCCACATGGAAAGAATAAAGGATCCATGAATGTCAAAAACTCACATATAGAAGCCGCTTATGTATCCATGACCTAAAAGGGGAAAAACCCCTCCTGTGAACTAGGTTTTGTCTCGTTGGGGCACTGCAATGTGTATCCCATTTCGCGGCATAAAACGCGAAAATATGAATGGTGCACTCAATAACACGAAGATATGGAGGGGGAATCGTCATTCGGAATCGCTTGTGTTGAATTGTGGCCCGTGAAGCGCAATAGAGTGGAGAATTCAGAATTAACCACGATCCCTCTTAAACGGAGGCCTTGCTAGGATTCACTGGATTCCCGCTTCAGAGTCTCTTCTGGAGCGGAAAATAAGGTGATTCACGCAAAGGAAGGCATAAGAGTTAGCCATGCCGGAATGGATTGTTCCTCTCCTAAGATTTTGAGAGATGTGACTTTTCATTTATTGCAACTGGATTAGCTGAGTTACCAGGTAGCGGTGGCATCTCAAATGCTTCAGGAATGGTTAACGAATAACAACAATTTACCATAGCATTTGAAGAGATCCTTTAGACGCGTGTTGAATATGGAGGTTTCAGGAGTAATAAAACCGACTCACCTCTTTGACGGTGCCTTAGCCGCATGAGAACCCTGGTGTTCGGGTTCGGGAGTTCGTTCCTGAGCTGAGCAAACAGAGTGTGGACAAGGATGCCTGGGGAGAATTTCAAGCGTGAAGGTTGCGTGGCCAGTGCATTCAGGCAGCGTAGAAAGTCTAACGTAGCATGAACATTAGGTGATATTGGCATCTTATAGACAGGGGAGAGGCCCCAAAGCTCTGAGAACAAAATCAAGACCCAAGGGGAATGTATAAAACATATCCCTGTTTGCTCTGGAATTGATAACCATGCCCATGTATGTTAGAGTCTCTGACGCCTTTATCCGGTGACACTTTGAATATCTGAAACTTGACGGGGAGATGCCTTGTAGTAACGACTAAGGAAAGGCCAACCCACAGCAAAAACCGCAATCTCCGCCCAAACTACCCTGAGAAAGCCCTTGCACAATTGAGAGAAAATCCGAATCCCAGTGAGGAACCACAGTGAACTTTGCAGTCCGTGGCACTCCGCAGCTTATAACCAACGAAAAGAAAACTGAAAACAATACGGCCAGCGTGTCTACTCAGAGATCCCTGCTTCGAAGAATAATATCAGCCCTTGCACTGCAGGTGTAAGAAGGCTAGGGATGAAAGAACTCGAAAGGCAGAGTGATGAAACGTATAGGCGTTTTTCACGTTGCATCATGCGGAACAAGAATGAGGGAAGACGGAAACGGGGAGGGAGAGGAAAACGGACAGAGTCGGGGGGGGGACGGGGTATTACCCGGGAGATACATTGTTGCAACGTGAAGAACACGTTGATTCGAACTATTTCCATGACTGAGAAGAGGGTTGACAGTGACGAAACAGTCGAGATATAAATTGACTGCTAGCGTCTGAAAACTCGACATTGCTCTAATACAATGACATATCTTTCGTGGGGGGCTATGTTCACATCGCTCCTCGCCGGAGATACGGAAGAAGTGGTTTCCTGGATCCCGACAGACGCTGTAGATATAAAAGTTTTTGAAGTAGTTGCACATTCCAACGGTTTTTATAAGGATGATGAAGACTTCCACATGGGTAATCGAGATTGGAGACGGAGTGTCAGCGTGATTTCAGCAAACTGTAAGCTTTCTGGAAAAGTGTCTGCTCAAAGAACATTGCCGTACATGAGATTTTGGGGAGAAAGTGATGGCCTGGCCGTAAAATAGCTGGGTACAGGATATCCTGCACAAGTGAACATTCAAAGGAACAGCCTTCCCTTCTTGTAGTCTCCTATAGAAGAACTTAGTATCAGAAAGATACACTTGGCCAACCTTCAGGGTGGTCCCCAGATTTCCTATTGGCAGTAAATGACGAAACAATCGTCCGAGGATTGGCCAAGATAAACTTGACAATTAAAAATAGAGTAGACACCATGCTAAGCAAGGCTATCTGAAGTTTCTAGAGTTGGAAAAGAAAAAATATCATGACCGGGTCTATCGAGGGGGAGGGGGGTTGGCGGCCGATCGATAACGACCGATAAATGACTCGAGATCCCCGAATGTCATGAGCGCCACGCGCCAAAAAAAAAAAAAAAAAAAAGAGGCCGTTTATTTGTATCATTACACAGAAATAAACGGCAACTAGGAGAATCGCAGACCGGAAGCATGTCTTAGTAGGCTCCAGGCATCAAGCAAAGCTCCTCCTCAATAAAGACGATCTGTTCTGCTTTCTCTCAACCGTCAAGGGCGTGGAGACTCTCGGAGCCTTCGAAATAAACTTCACATGGGACATCTAGACGCGTATTCAAAATATGCAAGCTTGCGCAAAGCCTTGTTGATGGTCTCGCACTGCAACAGTGTTGCAAATCGAAGATGCGATAGGTGGAAGAATTTTGAGATGTCCGCTTAGCAGGGCAGCAACATGGAAAATAGCCGAAGCGGTCATGTCACTATTTTGACATGGAGGGTAAAACATCAGATTACTATGCAAATAATAAATTTTTACGCGTCAGGACACAGACAGACCTCTCCATTTTCCACCTTCGCTTAGAATGGACAATACATACATACTATAATTGGATGGAGACCCCATGATGCTTGATTAGCGGTTGACTCTAGAAGAATGATAAATGCTGCTAGGTAGGTCTGAGCGCAGAGAAGGTTCCCGGAGTCCGACCACCCCTTCATTCGACCTAATCACCAATCACCATTATAGATCAAGGAGCTCAAAAACAACTAACAAACAAGTCTGGGTCCTCGAAATATCGCCAATTATACAAACTATGTTCAACTGTTGTAAGAGGTGAAACAAAAATCCGGTGCTAGGCCGGTTCGATTTATTCTAATTTGAAACGCCACCGGTGGTGGGGAGAATCGTTCAAAGTTTCGCACATGATGTTTTCCCAGCAGTAATCGACCTCCTAGAAGAGCCTACAGCGTCACAGATGTTCCGCATCTCTTGGAAGTCTTGGGGAAATGAGCTCGCATTGACATCGCACGCCTGGCATGAACCATGCTTGACCAACCAGCACAACTCCATACTCGAAGAAAATGGGCAACCGTCGGTGGCATCAGCAGCAGCATTATTACCAAGGTGAATTGAATCGATGCTGAGAGGGGCTAACTCCTTTGATCTTCTTCTGGAAGGAAATCTTTAGGTGGTTTCAATAATGCTGATGACGATGAAAAATAAGATGGGCTCTCCTTTTGCCACAAGCCTAACTAAGATCGAAGCGTAGATGTTACGGGGTTTGGAGCCGGGAGTTTTGTTTTTCCGGCAACAGGGGACAGAGTTAGATCGGCTACAGCAACCCTAGTGCTCATCTGGAATAGCGCGAACCTTGATGGGTTACGTAGGCAAACCTCGCTAACCCCATCCCGTTAGCCACAGGCATTTGTCAGCGGTCTCAGTATTCACCCAAAATAGCATGTTCAACGTCAACCAGCCCCCCCCCGGCGAACCTGCGGAACCTACACCACAATTCTCCATCCCGACGCTCGTTACCAACGTTGTTCCGTTTTTCACCAGGGCAGATCCGACGCAGGTCCGTAATCCCAGGCGCAATGATCTTTTGAATCTGACTGTCGCTGCTCTACTCGATTTTCTTCCGATTCATCGTGTTGTCTTACAAGTTTTGTCGCTCGCTACCCCCCGGATATACCCCACACCAAATTCGTCCCGCGACGTGTGACCCCCATCGAACCAGCGCTCTCGATGCACAATGGGCTTCGGTGATCTTGAATTCATTTGCCGCAAGGCAGCCCTCCCGCTATGCTCTGTGGTCGGCCCCCCCTCGACGGTGACAAGCGGCTCCCGAGGCATTCTGGCCAACTGTTACGCGAGGAATATCGAAGTTGCGAACACCATCATTTTTCAAGGGGCTGCAGATGTCGCGCATATCGCTGCACTGGCAATGACGGTGATTATGGTGATTCATGTGCGGTCGAAATTTACTGCTGTTGGTATGTATTGAAACCGCCCAAGAAGGGGGGAAAATTGGATACGATAACGACAGAGTGATAATATGAGGTTGTGTTTCTAGGTCGAAAGGAGATTACGACATTCTTCTACATATATATGGCATTAACAATGTGCTCTCTGGTCCTTGATTCCGGTGTCATTCCTCCCGGAAACACCGTCTTCCCGTACTTTGCAGCCCTCCAGAACGGTTTTTCGTCTGCCCTCTGCACATGTTTACTTGTCAATGGGTTTGTGGGATTTCAAATCTACGAAGATGGAACGACACTCTCTGTTTGGCTGCTTCGACTATCATCCCTTGGGATGTTTGGCATCTCCTTCATTATCTCACTTTTAACTTTCATGGGATGGGCAGGTCTCTCGCCATCGAATACGGTTGGGCTGTTTGTGATCCTCTACATTGTGAATGCAATCTGCCTCATCGTATATGTAGTGATGCAGATTATCCTCGTCGTCAATACTTTGCAGGATCGTTGGCCGCTGGGTCAAATTGCCTCTGGCGTGTTCTTCTTCATTATAGGCCAGGTGATACTATACGTGTTCAGCGAAACCATCTGTGAACAAGTCCAACATTATCTCGATGGCGTATTCTTTGCAACCCTTTGCAACTTACTAGCAGTTATGATGGTATACAAGGTGCGCTACTTTGTCCTTTTTTCCTCCCCTTTCATGCTTTTATCGCCACGGAACATGTTTCTAACTTGAGTATAGTATTGGGATTCCATCACCAAAGAGGATCTTGAATTTTCAGTTGGCGTCAAACAGAACAACTGGGAAGTTAAGGAGCTTTTGCCCGAAGACGAGAGAAGAGCCACAGTTTACCACGACACCAACTCTGATTATGCAAGCAGCATGTACCACCAGCGAAATTCCACCTATGGCACCGGCCACACGAGTTATTAGACTCCCCCAACTGATGACAAGCATTTGTTTTAACATATAGTCATATGTACACATTTTGTTTTACACTGGTTCTCTTCTCTAGCATTGTATCTTTTATTGGCTGTTTGCATTGCCATTCTGTTTTACATTCCAATATTTTCTGATTCACACGACCTTGTAACGCTTGGAGTTCTTTTCACTTCTCTCTACTTTACCCCGGGATACAGTTGGCTGGCACCTATATTTCTCAGTTCTGTTCCAAAACAAAAGCCCCGACCTCTCCACCTGCAGCCCTCAGTTTACTAAATTTTGTTTATATTCCTTTGTCGATGTATCAGCGACGCAGAATACCTCCAGTTTGTGTAACATTTTACTCTTACGACATACGCGTTTAATAACCACCTATTTTCTCTTTTTTGCTCTTCTGTATTGCCCCAGTTGCGCTTTGTATAAATTCAATGATATATTATTTGCTTCACAGCAATTCCAAGTCAGATTAGGGCATCCATATATATTAGGGAATTCTTCAAATCTCCAGGCTCAAAATCTTCTTTCGGCATCGTGTCATCCCCGTCTTCTATCACATCGTTGACAAAGCATCATAAAAAACAGAATTCGACAGGTGAGGGGGATCTCAATCATATGTGGCATTGGGCATTTCATTTTGCCATCACCAGTACCGGGCATCTTTAGGAGACCTGCCAATAGTCGTTGCTGAAGTCATTGTAGAAGTAGGGTACAAAATGAGCGAAGAAGCATAGCAGCATTTTCTGATAAATGAAGGACAGAAAATAAAAACCAGTTTTATTATATCTTTCAGAAGCAAAAAAACAGCTTAACTCCTTGTGGATTCAATAAAAATATACGTCAGTAGGTATAACGCAGAACTTCACCAGATAACAATTCTAATCCACAAGAACAACATCATCATCAGCATCCGTAAACCCCCGCCCTTTTTCACCGCCGGAATTTGACTCATCGCCACTGCTGGCTCGATCAATACTTCTACTACCACCACCGCTGGTACGACTGGCATTCAGGTACCAACCTCGATCGATCCATCGAACGAGCAGCTCGCTGGCCTGCTGCGCTAGGTCATAGAAAGACGGATTTTCCCTGGGAGAAAACATGCTCATATGCGCCTTCGTTTCATCGGTTGCCTTATCATTTATGGCTTTGATCCATTGGATCCCACATGTATTACTGGAGGTGACCTTGTCATCGGCTTTATGATCACTCTCGTCAACATCAGCCGGGATGTTGCAGAATGTCCGCAGCTTTGAGCGCAATATATACCGACTTAGGGAGGAAGCCGGAGAAGGCTTGTTGATGCCGCTGTTTGCTGGAACGGCCACTGCGCCCTGCCCCAAACACGTATAAAACTCTCCGCAACCGATTCCTCGCTCCTGCTGCAGCTTCTCGATCGACCAGATACGTCGCCGTAGCTCGTCAGGGCGCGTGAGGCACCCTACAAACTCTAGATGCGAGGTTGCCCAGCTCCAACCTCCCAAAAATTTGTCGCGTTGGGAGTATAGTGCAGCGGCTCCGCCGGCCGCAACAGCCCCTGCTGCTCCCGCGTACATAGCGTAGCGACCCCAGCGCTGCCACGACGGTGTCGCGGCAGCATCATCTGTAGGAGATGTCATGCTAGGAGAATTCGTTGTAGGGGGGAGGGCTGGGAGAGAAGACTTGGTGTTTTCATCGGTTGTCGGGGAGCTTCCGGCCTTAGTCTCCCCTTTCTTCGCACCTCCCCAACCAAACACACCAGCTACTTCTGAAATCGCCCCATAGGCAGCGGTGGCTGTTTTATAGTGATTTTCAGCGGTGTAGGAGACAACTCCCGGTGCGATACCGAGAAACGGGGTATCAAATGCAAGTAAACCTTGGATATGGGGGAACATGAAGGTGTTGGGTTCTACGGACTTGCCCTCAGTCGAAGACGACGTCCTCGAGGATGAAAGTTTTGATGGCGTGGGTAAAAGTTGCTCAGATGCTAGGAGGATGAGGGTCTCCGCTCCAACAATCCCGCCCATCGAATGGCCGATCAAGATGACATGCACGGATGGATCGACGGTGGGCGAAGGGGCTTCATTGGCGACTTCGATATCGATAACAACATTTTGGAGCCTGAATACAAGCATATGTCAGATAAGACTTCCCAGGCCCCTGTAGGAATATTGCAAGTCTCGTATCTCGTCCTTTTCGACGGAACACACCATTCTCGAAATTTCGCTACGCATTCAGTTAAGTCACCCTTCGTCTCGTACTTGGGGTATACAACCGATGCGGCCTCGACATCTGGTAGCGCATGGCTGACAAGAGCGCGCAAATGGGCAGGAAAGCTTCCAAATGTATCGTCTCCGCCCTATCGGTTGTGCAGTTAATATCATCAGACTTTTCGAAATTCGCCGCAATGCGGGGGGATGTTACGTATGGCACGAAACTGGGCGTATGTTGGGAGGGAAAGTGGCGCACCTTGAAACCGTGGATAAACACCAAAAGAAGGGTCCTCTTCATGATACCCGTGGAGCCCGTAACATATTCTTCATGATGGAAGATCTCGAGCGAGGCAGGGCATTGTTGTCGAGAGGCAATTCCATGGAATAGGAGTTGGTTGTGTAGTTCGAGATTTTTCCAATGTTTGCGTCATCGGCATCAGCTGCCAGGTCGAGGATGGAGGCGGATCACGTGGTGCAGGGTTCCTCGTAGGGCTGATATTTATCAAAGTCATCTCATCTATCCTCAGTCATCCTTCGCTTTGACAGAGTATTAAGTTATACGGAAAGCTCTCAAAGCCGCTAAATCGATGGAGCAATTGTTATCACTATTGAATTTGAAAACGCCAGGTAGCTGTCTAATTACCAAAGGGGGGACGGCATCTAAATACAGGATCTTACCAGAACCAGCAGAGGCAAAGATCTGATTATAACGGGCTGAAGTCTAACAAAATCAAATCTCTACATTTCCAACGCTGGACCATGTGTGTGAATGATCACCGTGTGGCTTAGACTCGCGATGTTGGTAATGTGCCTGACCATATCGTGAGCCCAAGCAATGACAAATAGCGAATTGCGGCCACTCTGGTATAAATGAGCACAGACATAAAGAGATTATCATATTCTCTCGCTTCATCAGCTTTTCGAATTTCTTCCAATGTGCCCGCATCTGCTTCGTCTTCTAGACCAGGTAGTCCTAGAAGCCGGTAGAACTGCAACTGGCGATATCGGTTCTTATGGTTCTGAGCATCCACCGAATCATTATACTTGTCCATAACGACTTTTCAGGACTCAACGCCAGCAAAATGCATTTCTTCGGTTGTGCCTTTTTCAACTTCAGCATTCCATGATGGCCTGTCCAAGCCAGGTGCAGGTGGATGGCCCTCTATCCTCGTATCGCTGCTGCATGTCTCCAGGTTGCTGATACTGGAAATTGTGCTCTTGTTCTGCTTGTTTGAAACTGCAGAGGCAGCTGAAGTAAACGCCTTCACCTTGGGAAACGTCTACTGCGCGAAGACAATAGGTTAAGCCCTCTCGAACATGGCGCACGGTAAATATAAACGGGGTATCATCGAAACCTGGGAGTGAACGAGTATGCGATGTTCTGATGCTATGGTAAGTGCTTGATCAACTTCTTGACTATATGAGCAGGAACCAGGTATTCTGTCAGGTATTTAAGGCAAGCAGTATACGTAAAAGTTGGGAATTTGATTTTATATTATATTTAGATGCTTCCTGGCTCCTGGTTCCATCCTCGACAATGTCTCATTACCCCCAATGAGAACCTTGTGTGTTTCCAGGCAATTTAAAATATAACAAACGAGTTTAATGGTTTTACCTCACCAAAGCACCACAGCATCCAACAAAATCGAACTATTTAACATCATAGCGGGTGCAGGGGAAGAACCCTTTCAAGTATGCACATAGGTGTAAGACGAACCCCTTCCCGACTGTCTTAGTTGTAGCATAAGCAGACTGCGCATAGACATGCCCTCCATAAGCAGCTTTGAAATGGTGCGGCGTCATCAGCGCCCGGACCCGTTCAAACTGGAATTTCTCTCTATTTCCATTGCCTTTACCATGATCATCATAACATTTACCTGAAGCGCCCCCATGCCCACCTATCCTCTCGCGAACCATTAATTTGACAAATGGATACGCCGGCAGCACTGTGGATGCAGTTAAGAGGTTCTTCATCACAGATCTGTCGCTGGCAGTCCGCGCAGGGCTGTTCGCGGGTGGGCTAGACATGTTTTGGAGGAACTCATTCTATGGCTGAAGCATGCAAATGAAGCGTGTGAAATGTTAAGAAGATAAAAGATATATAACTGATTTCTCAATCACCCTCAAAACAACAGGTAAGAGCAAGCTCTCAATGTTATATGGACGTTACCTTCGTTGCATGATCAGAAGAAAAGGTGACCTCGTTGAAAGATCTATGTGCGAACTTGGGAAAAGATTCCGAATAACGAAGAACAGAGATGCTGCTTCAATCAGTAACTGCATATCAGAAGCATATGCTTTGGGCAGACTGCAAGAATTGCCGGACTCAAAGTTATGTACTTTCTAGTGACGGCCAGATGTGGAAAACTTGGAGATCTCCATATTACCGAGGATTGGCAAATTGCCACTGGTCCAACGATTTGCCCACCCTTCCCTAGCTTCCCAGGAAAAATTTTAACAAGTTCATGGTTTCCTTCAATTAAAAGTCTCCTTCATGTTCAGATAACCGTAATTCGGCTTTGGTCACCGATGCCAGCGAGTCAACTTGGGCTGCAGACCATCGAAAGCACCGAGGCAAAACCAGGAAATTCTCGGGAAACCTTAAAGGGGGAGGTTGGATTTTTGTCCGCGCCAACATCAAGCGGGTTGAAGCTTTCTGCCCAATATTCTTTTGGTTCCAGGCTCTATATCTGGCGTTCACGTGCGCTCGACTGCACTTCGCAACGCTGCATATCATGGATACTTTACTTCGCGAGTACTTCGGTTGGATATTGCATGCCTGCCTGGTCTTACGATAAGATCATAGCGGATGCACGCCACTGGTACTTCCCACGTCTATCGCAATATAAAAGTGAATTATAATATATATATATATATATATATATATAAATAAAAATAAAAATAAAAATATAAAAATTCATGGCGTCTTGCTTTGCTTCAGAGAATGTTCCACCAGCCAGCTCTGGGATTAGGTGCTGAATTGTTGCAACAGCAACAGAATGGCGATATTAGTCCTGGTAGAAGGTTGATATCTGATTCCACCGCATGCAGAGCATGCTATCCGACCTCTGAGGATAGGCTAGTTAAGAATCCCGGGTTCCACCACATAGCCTCAACAATGTTCATTTATCATTGCCTTGATCCATGAAAAGGTACCCTATCGACCCACCCCCAGATGGAATGAGGCTATTTATTTGCCGACGTCAGTTAAAATACCATCACAGGGAAGATTCAGTTCCTTGGCTAGAATTGAAATCCTGGCAGCCAGTTTCCTTGATGATATGCATCTGTTCAGTAGCCGTTTCGTTCAGACTCGGAGGCTGGGACTTGCGAAGTCGGATAACTTTCTGAGGATGCAAGCCTATCCCGTCGTTGAGTAAACTAACATCCAAGGAAAAGAACGCCCGAGATAGCCTGTGTGTTCTCTCTCATGGTACCGATGGTGGGTAACGACACGCAAAACCTCCAATCCTAGCCTTCCTGTGTGATACGTGGCCCTCACGAAACAGCTCAACTTCGAACTGAGGATGCCCCCCAAGACGATTGAAATCATTGTCCGTACACCCGTCCCAGACGAAGACCGAACCAAGACCGCGTCTCCTCAGTCGTACCATACCAAATGTTCGCGTGAGTCAGTCAGTTTTGCCGGTCATTCTGTGACCCATTTGACCTTTCTCCTTCCCTGGAAATAAAATAAAATAGAGGTAACTAAGATTAAGGGAATAAATCTGGGTCACGTACCGAGTTGAGCCCTACCCGACGGTCGGTTCCAAACGCGCCTCCGATGATACGTGTCCTACACACGAAAATCCACGTCCCAGCCCGGTATAATCTCTCAGATGTGGTCTCTCAGATGTGTGTCAAACAACAGAGAGTGAACATCAGGTTTTGACATTTCCTCCTGGACTGTGAGGCACATTGAGATTAGAATAGGAAGATGCATAATATGCAGGAGCTCTGTAACTGGAATAGCATCCATAGGAACATATATATATAACTTTGCTATCATCTACAGAATAAGAGATTTTACTGGAGTTCTAGAGATTTAAATCTGCTTAACTTTATGAATATCTTCCCTGGGGACTTGAATGAGTATTAGACCTGTTGAGGGAATTTATAATCATCTCTGATCTGAGATTAGATACTGAAGCAGAGGGATGAGATGTAGGAATGATGTTGTATTTGCTTCACTGCACAATCTCTGATTCTTATAGTTAATCAAGCTCCCTTAACATGATCATCGTATATACATGTGTCTCACACGTTCTCTCTCTCTCTCTCTCTCTCTCTCTATCCACGCTGTGTACCTAAGGTGCAAGGCACATCCATACCCACGTTTGGCAGACGCGGGGTCCCAGCGTGGTGTTGATACATCCGCACACATCCATCCATCGCATCTATGAGCAGTGGATCTACCACGGGATCTACGGAAGTTGATCTACGTATACGGTCCTCAACACAATCCACAGATTGATTGTTTGATATAGGGACGGACATTTTGGCGTCTGACACCTGTCTTCAGGGCAAGGCTGAGGCTTTGCCACCTGCCTAACCGATTAAAATAACATCTACTGCTCTTGGATCTTGTTAGGTAGTTATTCAGGTGACCCCTATGGAATTGTACTCGTCCTTGGAAGTCCAGGATAGAACTAATTACTGGGCGATGGAACCCTTTTTGCCAGGTTAGCCTAACAGATCCAGGCTCTATTTTCATTTAATGTTGGAAGTATCTCAACTGTGACAATAACTAGATATCCACACAAAGTCATAGTTGGACTTCTTCAGGCAACGCCATGTAACAAGTTATAGTTTACGTATTCGATGATCAGCAATGGCGTAGTTGCAATGCGCAACGGAGGGAGAATCCAGAATTCGCATTGGCGGGACATCGCTCCTTTTTCCGCGGTAAGAATAATATGCTTCAAATTAATTACATGCCGAGATAGTAATTGTTGTTGTGCTACCTAGGTATAGACCATTCGTTGCATCATGAGGGACCGACACATAGATATACCTGCAAGAGCATTTCCGAAGAGAATCCCTGCTTTCCGCCCATCCGCGGGCTTGTATGGTGACCAACAAACAAAAATGACGCCTTGCAATATCCTTTCCAACGCCCCTTACACAGGCGGTTAAAAGATAAATCCAAAGAAAACGACAGAGAGGATGGCGAACGGCCCAGCCCATTCTCGGAAGGTCCTAATTTTCAAGAAGTTTGCCAACTCACCCTGTCTAATATTTTTATTTGTTGTTTTATTTATTTATCTGTTTATTTTTTATATTTTTTATATTCTTTATATATATATATATATATATTTTTCCATCCATCCACTTGCTCAATTGGGTTTGAGACACAAAATGATATAAATGATCAGATGATCAGGTCCCGCAATGGTCGTTGTGACATCACCACTAATCATCGTATGTAACCCATTATCACAGAAATCGAGGTTTCGGTCTGACAACTCGCACTTCATCCTTATTCCACGGTCGGTTACATTGGGGAAGCAGAAGAAGGACAACTGGACAAAACCACCGAGCGGAACACGTGTTAAAATGAAGGATATGATTGATGGCCAGAGTAGTTGACAGTTAAGATTTATTAATAACAGTGGATGGGAAATTAGGAAAAATTGTGAATGGGAGAAATGTTGACAACACCTCGATGAGTGATTAACTATTAGCACATCTATGAGACGTAACCACATATGGCTAGATTAAAGAGTAATATACCGAGAAACCACCTTCTATCATTATATCGCACCAATGAATAGAAAATATAGTGTATGGAAGGGAAACTTAGTAAGAAAAAAAGACTAGGTTTCGAAGGTCTTCGGAGCACGGTTTAAAATTATGTAGTGTGGCAAAAGCCCCTGAAAAGGCTCAAGAAGAACTTGCTTGACATGCAATACAGCCGCCAGAGGTTCCTGTTAAAAAGGAGAAACCACCGCAATGGAATATGATGTTAGTAAGACAGTGGTTGTATAAAGGTAACAGCAATATGCCCCGCCATCCAAATTGGTAGAAGTAGAAACAAAATCACAGTCCCTCCGATAGTGTCCTCTCATGCATGGGCCTCGCTCTAAAATAATCGCGGGCCCAAGCCAAGATACAAGACCCGTGGGGGCCTAATAATAATAATGATAATGAAAACAAAAAGTGAGTATCAAAAGAACGCACAAGCCAAAGCCCATCTAAGCGTTAAAACTCCGCCGCAATGCTTAAAAGAACAGAAAAAGGTGGTATTCGTCGTTTAAAAAAAACAAAAAGTGACACAGAAGAACGGTTGCTGTACAAACAGAAAAGAAAGACAATCGTTAAAAAGGGATGGAGGTTTGTGGACAAATCGTAAAATAAAATGATTGTTTAAATTTTGACTCAGCTTTACCGAAAGGGCTGATTCCGATAGAGTGGCTGTTGTAGTTGATTTGGTTGTTGCTGCTGAGGTTTCTGCTGCGGCTGCTGTTGCCGTTGCGGCCCTGGAAAATTGGGTTGAAGCTGTGGAAGCTGCGGTAGCTGGGGTTCACCCCAGGATTCCTGGTTGGAGTAAGGAAGCAAGCCAGTTTTGCGTTCAGTCACGGCCTTTCCCAATGGCTGGTAATGCATTTGGTCTAGCGGAAGAAGCCTCACATGGTTCATAGAAGCAGATGGTGGAGGATACAGGAGTGTGTTGACTTGTCGCACAGGTCGGTAAGGAGAATTTCTATCTATGACAAACGATGGGGAAAGCCGGGTCGGAGTATGTGCGGAGTACGCGGATAGGGCCGGAGATATAGTTGTGGAAGTGGTGGAAACATATGGGCTTTGGCGTCTTGCCTGGTCGGGGTGACTGACGGAAGGGTTGGGAAGGGAGCGTGGAAGAGGCGCTAATGTCGTTGCTGGGGGGGTTTGATGGCTCCAGGAACTAACAGAAGGGTATATTGGGGCCATGGAATGAGTGGAGGGTGGTAAGTGAGCTTGAAGTTGCGTTTGCGTTTGCATTTGGGGGACATACGTAGGCCCCGCGGAATTTTGGCCAAGTGCAAAATCGAGTCTTGGAAGTTGTGGAATCGAGGACGCTACAGGCATACCTAATTGCTGGACAGATGGCATTGTAATAGGCGGGAAATGGCCTGCAGTGGTAGTTGTCATGGATGGAAGAGGCGGAAGAGACGCAGGACCAGACATGGCTGGCCTGGACACTCTCTTTGCGGGATGCTCTTGTTCTTCCCAGCTTCGCTTCCGACGGAGGTCCAAATTTGAGTTTCCTGTCCAGGATAATTGGCGCGGTGATAAATTTGGGTGTCCAAGGATAGCTACAGAAGCAGGTGGGAGTTTCTGGAGGTACTGTTGTAGAGGTACATATGGTGCTAGCACAGGAGATGGTAATTTCGGGGGCCGAACTGGAGGTAGAGATGTTGTTGGACTTATTGGAGTCAGATCGGGAGAAAGCTGCGTAGTCGGAGTGGTAGGTTGTACATCGTTGTCAGGGGGAAGTCGAGATGCTTGGGCGAAATAGTCTGCGAACATCCCAAGCTTCGTATGCCATTGATCCCACTCATTTTTGGTGACGAATAGATTATATCGTACATTACTCAGGAACTCAACCTCCATAATATGAATTTCCTGGGCCGAGATACCTGATACTTCGGCCCACGTCTTATTCGTGTAAGTATTGTCATCCAGAACTATTAATTATTACCAAGTCAGCACAATACCAACAAGACAGGTAAAGTAGACATAAAAACTAGAGTATTCTTTATACATTTATTCCCCATCATTAATGCTATTGTCAGCAATCTAAATTCGCTTCCTCGCTTTCCGCGCACGGTCGGGTTAAATTTCTTCAACCGGTAGATGAACAGGAGAGCCAGGAGTATGACATTCTGGCTGACTTGAGTGGTAGAGAGGATTGTAGTCACCCATTTCCGAAAACCTATTGTTGGTGTCGATTCAGGCATGAGCGGCGGTATAGAGTAATTTAAGGACGAGGAATTCAAGACAACATTCAGCTTCGAAGCTTTTTCGAACCAGAAGAGACATGTTATCTAGATATCGAAAAATAAGACATTAGTGAGTTATTGCTGTACCGGACTTGCCCCGCCCCCAGTTCTATAATGAAGACAACAATTACATACCTGAGCAGCAAATTCCGCTAGACTTCCCTTGCTGGGATTTATGGACGCTGGGATTTGCAGATACGTAGCTATCGAATTCCGGGAACTCTCCTTCGTATGGGTCTCTGGTAGCTGGCTAGTGAGGGACGGAGGTTGCTGTTCTCGTACAGAAGCAGAGTTTTTGGCCATTCCTTCCGTCACCAGATGAATATTAGATCTCTCAGCGGCTGAATTTGAGTACGACGAATGTATGCCATATGCTTTTGGTCCATAGCTGGATGATGAGACAGATTGCTTTACAGCAATACCTGTCATATCCTCTGGTGGCGTAGATAATCCAAAATTGTAGGGCATAGACCGCTCCGCGGTGTTTCGAGAGCTGATTTCGGCCTTGCAGTGTATCCTGGCTCCTAACGAACCACCTTCAACACTGTTGTAGGCTGAGGAATATGCTGAACCAAGTTGCGGCTGGGCAGCGGAAAGAACGCTAGACATGAGTGCGGAAACGACGACGTAGGAGAGGGAGGGCGACAAGTGGGGGCGGGGGGCAGGGAAAGAGGGGGAGAGGGAGATATTGAAGGAGATATAGAGCTATGGTTGAGCTTCGTTGCTGTGAGTGAAAGTGAAGTCAAGCTGTTATCAAAACGGCAGATGTGTGGGACCAGGAGCTGATATATCAACCTCCCAGGAAGAGGTGGTAGGCAAAGGCGACGGATAAGTTGAGGCGGATCATCTGGAATGGCGGCATCCAGTCGCTCGATTGTACTATCGTTCCATTAATCCACCCATCAAAGCAGTACCTGATCCACACATAAGAGATACAGAGAAGTGATTGAATTGGAACCCGTTGTCTGCAAAGAGTGACGCAAGTTGGGGGTGAGTGGAAAGTGATGGGGCTCGGATGGTGTTAGATGCAGATATAGATAGATCGATGGAGTAGCGAGTGGGATATTGAATCGGACGGCAACAGCCACAGCCAGGAATTGACTCGAAGATGGGGAGAAAGTGAGTGCGTTATTTGAACTGATTGGCTCAATGATTTGATGTTGAAAGGGACGATGCTTGATGCTTTCATAGAGGATATAATGGTACTTATAAAGGGAACCAGAAGAAGCACGGGAGTGGAGGCAACGGTCAAAATGTGAATAGGAAGTAATAATAGCAGCGCGATGAGCAGCCACCACCACCCCCCCCTTCACCCTTTGAGTCTCTCAACCCTCAGCCAGGCCAGGGAAAAGGAATGGCTGGTGGAGAATATAGGAAGCTTTCGGCACTCGGGAGGGAGAAGTCTCACATACACGGATGGAGCATGGTGGGATGGATATAGCAGCCTGCAGTTCCACTCGGTAAAAGTAGTGGCAAGAGTAAAAAAAGACTAATTAGTCAATAACGGGATATAGGAGTACATCAGGCGGCAGAAATGGGTGGGAGGAGACGGGGGGAATGAAAGGATGAAAGCCAACGAATTAAAATGAACATTAATTAATTTTGAAATCTTAAGTTCACTAAATAACTAGCCATTTACATTGTTATTAGTTATGTAGGAATCTAAAAGTCCACACACTTCAACCTCCCTGACCTACTCCATGCCTAGTTGGTTCTGTAGTTACAATATCCATGTTCAAAGGAGACCGCAGAAGGAATATAAAAATACAAAAAGATGTTATGTTTTACTCCTTTCTGCCGTTGACTGTGCAGATTGAGAATAGTCAACTCGAGAATCCACACCACATCCACCCTCATCCACACAACACACACACTCTCTCTCTCATTCACATGCTCACACCACACCTCAACATACATATACGTACAGGACAGTACATAATAGGTCGCACATCCTCAAACCGGAGCTGGAGTTTGTTGGTTAGTCAACTTTTGTTGGGCAAAGTTTGGCGCGGACACTGGTCAAGAGGCTGATCTCTCGTTCTCATATCTGGGCTTTAAAAAACTACCAAAGAAAAAAGGAATAAGGATAATATCGAAGGACTGGTTGATGTTTGAACTGTGGATGCGGCAGGAAATAGTAATAATAATAATAATGGCGACGACAAGGACATGGAACATGCCTCGCTTCCTGACCCAGTTCTCCCAAACTATGCAAAAGGAATGTGGCCTGAGCCGGTGCCAGATGAAGTCGCTCTTTGGCACAATAATCAAAGAAAATGAGGGGATTAACCCAGACTTCAGACTCTATTTCTCTGCCTCTCTTCCTTTTCCTTTTTTTTTTTTTTTTTTTTTTTTTTTCCCTTTCTCGCTCCTGATTCTCTCCTCTTGCAGTCAAACGCTAAAACTTCCTGGGTTAAAACCTGGGATACCTAGGAGGGAATACCTAGGCTCACCGAAGAACTGACACCACCAGGGCCCAGGTACGTTCTGTTAATTACAGTAACTATTGTATGGTGCATGTACCCTCATTCCAACAGCCTTCGCCTGCTACTACTACTACTACTACTACTACTACTACTACTACTACTACTACTACTACTACTACTACTACTACTACTACTACCACCACCTATGTACTATGAATTATGCTACGTCGAGCAAATCGTGAATAATAAACCGCTTGCAACAGGTGCTGACCTGACTTACCACGCTTGTCTGCCAGTCGCCAACTGCATCACGTACCACATCCAATCGCATGCCTGGCTGCATCTTAGTGGTTGGATCCATTGTTTGGAGGGGAGGGGGAGGCATGTGGTTGCTGTGTGCATACTCCGTACCCTCCCTCCCCATCAATCATAAATGACAAAATAGCTCAATTTATTACGATGGAATGATGATGATGATGATGATGGACAGAACTATCGGAACGTCAAAGGATGGCTTGTTTTTGTTTCCACGGATTACCCTCCGCTAATAGTAGTGGAATTTTGTCTCTCTATCCAGGTACTTATCCAAGACATTAGTTATTGAGCTGTTGAGAAAAAGGAAATAACTACTAATATAGCGCTGCGATTTGTTCTGTTCGGGTAAACGAAATATTAACGGGTTAAAACAACAGCAGAACAGGCTCAAACCATTTCTTGAGATATTTGCTTGTCGTCCAATGTATCTACAATGTATGAAAGGCGAATGGAATCCATGTACTGCACTTTGCGCTAACGGATGCCCAGCACATCCAAGATGCTGAAGCAAGGCAGAGGAGAAACACAAGAGTGTCCGCATGAAGTGCTCCGTAAGGAATGAACTAGACAGCATAGCGTACCAGCCCATATGCGTTCAAATAATGTGACTATCGCCCTTTATCCCTTCCTACCAATGCTAGATGCCATTTACGACCCGCTGTCCTGTCCTGTCTCCATCGTATTTGAAACGCGTGGCGATGTTCTTTGTGCTGCCTCCAGCAATTAAAAGGCCACTGTATTATTCGAAGCATGGGGTTGCTGAGCTGCAGGTAGTACTTACATCCATCATTGTCAGCTTGGGGGGCTAGCTTTTTAACCCCTAAGTCCACATCAACATCCCTATCTTGTCTCGTGTTGTGTTCATTCATGGGTTTGGGCTCATGGTTTGAGAGAAGGATTGACGCGCCTTATTTGACTGCGAAGCCCCCCGGGATTGAGTACTTTTAGCAATTTTTTGTCTGCTGCGGACTCGTGCAGCCTCGTTGCGGCGACATGATCAGAACGCTAAAAAAAGTTGGGTGTTTTAGACTAACTTACAGCTGTGTGTCCTTTGGGAGGGGTGGGTTTAAATGGGTCGTCGTTTACAACTACAACATGTTTGAGCTTGACGTCGGGAATGGGGGTGTTCCAAGGGGATTGTTTGCATCATTCTAGCTCTATTCAGCGAACCGCAAGTGACAAAGGGAATGACAGAAGAATAATTCAAGTATGATGAATGTGTAATTCTTAAAGAATAAGTTCCTCGATTTCATAATTGCTCAGGAAGCCATGCTACTGCATGCTGGTTTGTTAATGTTGCCTCATTGCGGAGGGGAGTTAGTTATTGATGGAACTTGTAGACTGTACTGTTTGATGAAAACTCTTTTTCCTTAATTGTTTGAGTAGATTTCCGTACCCAGTAATTACGCTGCGTATTCCGGGTGGAAGAAGGGAACCACTGGAACAGGGGTGTGTGTCTGGAGAATTTTTTTTTCATGTCCACAGCTCCGAGGGTTGAAAGATGAAAATAGTGATGACGGTAATGATGACATGGTTAGGATCGACGGAGATGGTAGTGGATGGATTTAAGCTGTGCGTTTGGCACGCTTACGCAGTGGAAGTCTGGACTTGAAGAAGTTGCATCGGTGCCTCCGGAAGAGTAGAGCCATTTGAATAGAACAACGGGACTTTTGCTTGCTGGTACTGCTGCGGAATGGTGGAGTGGCTTTTGAGTTTCACATCCTGGAGCATCCTGGAGATTTTGGACGAGGACATAAAATCTCATTCTCATCCATACATCGCCAGGTACGATGATGGCAAAATTCTTGATGACGGAACCTTGACCGTGGTGAGTGTCAGACCGCAAATCGTAATTTGGCATTCCAAGGTTGTTTTTGGTTTTATCTTCCAGCCCATCTTCTCTATGGCACCTCATGTTGAAACCTAGATGCTCACTGCTAAAACCCATGTCCGTAATTATGAATTTTGAGGCTTTGGGGCTATCCATATTCCAGCTGCTCCCGGCTTGTGGTGGGGTAAAACTTTGCGAAGAAGGTTGGGTTTGCGCCTGTTTCATTTCATTTTCTTCTATTTGGAAAGCAGCTCCGGTTTTTTTTCATTCATAAATTGTTTTATCCTAGGCATGGATTTGTTGGAGCAAAAACCTGAGCTATCTTGATATCTTGGGTGCCCTTACGTGTGGAGCGCTGACGGGGGTCGTGTTGACAAAACAATGAAAACGAAAGAGAGTCGTGGAGAACTTGGAGAACAAAAAGTAATAAAAGAGGGTTCCGCTGTATCCACCTCGCATCCATCTCAAATTCCATCCAGCTTACGTTGCCAACGGAATTAGTTCGTTAATTATTTTGCTCTTTGGCGACGGTCAGGGCAAGGAACGCGGCTTCGGTCTGCAACTTGAGTGGCACACACCGCCAAACCTAGACACGCATATGAAGGTTTGACCGATAGTTAAATGGCAACTCGTAAGGACCATTTATTTGATATGTCGAATACTCACCCTACTAGGGGCAAGCTTCTTGAACAAGACTGGGCCAGTGATACCAGCCAAGGATTAAAGGGTGGTCGGAGACCGATACCTGCCAGCTAATATTTAAAAATATTCCATATACTAATGTGTCTCTTGTCTATTTCAGGGCAAGAAAACAAATAATGGGCAAATATTGATTCAGCCATTAAGATCAACTTCTCATCGGTTAACGATAACAAACAAAACTGTCTAGGCATGACCACACGGAGACTCGGAGACCGCCATGCAGAGTACCGGGCGGAACTTGGGGCAGTTGAAAGAAACGCATCGTGTGTGCCTGTGTCCAGGTCTCAGAATCGTACTTAATATTTGATAATACCTGCTTTATCATTTGTTCCAGCGTGCAGTTAAGATCCTTAAGATTTGAAAAGTTGTATTGAAAATTCTTGCCATTAATATCCGCCGCCACCCTCCTTGCATCCGAGCAAAGCGTTAGTGGTAACCAGCCAGAGGAGAGGGAGGGTTTGGGCCGCTCAGACAAATTTTTGGATGTGCTCTGTAGTCGAACCGTCGTGCTTCCTATGCATCAGTTTTCAGGCGGACATGAAATAATATATGTGTTGTAGTTAACTTGGTTGGAGAAACGGTCGCCTTCTTTCCTACTTGACGACTGGACTGCTACTGGATAAATATTAAAGCCCGGGAGTCCTGGCGGGCTGACCATGTTTGGTTTATACCTAGGGTTGAATCAGATCAACCAAGTCCGAGTATGCTCCCCGTTCTCCCTTGCTGAATACCAGCTTAACGAGGAGTTCTTGGATCCGTTTTCCTGCCTTCCCAACTAAGGAGAAGACGCCAGGATGAGGGCCAGGGCAATGTCGGCGATCTCCAAAGACTGATAAACCGAATGCTTTGCGAATGCTTTGGGAGATAATCCATTTGGTGTCTTCCGTCTGGGCCAAACGGCAAATCACATTGGTTGCATTCCTCCTAAATATGGATGCATGCCCCTAATATGGAAGAGGATATCACCGATTTGTTTCAGGTCAAATTCGAGATCGTAGCGGGATCTAGTTGACCACGACTAGCAGTAATAAATTAACAAGCCGCTTCAGAAAGCCGCAGAGCAATTTCAAGCGAAACAGCCAAAATCACTACACGGAAGCTTGAAAACCTGCTTCAGGCGGTCTGCACCCAGTACCTCTTGCAGAAATGACCATTGGGCCGAAATGTAAACGGGTAACCATCTGATTAATGTATGAAAATATGAGCAGGCGCCAGAAATGCGCCGGAAGATTTGGATAGCCTTCTTCATCCATGCATCTTTAAAAGGTGAAAGGGACACCAAGAAGTTGACTGCAGAAAGCAGCACAAACCAAACCTGCACTCAAAACCTGAGCCCATAGTTATGGGAGTTCAATAGCAACCATTGTATTGTGGATTATTGGCCCAAGTCTGCTAGCCGCCCTTCGAAACGTTGTAACGCCCTGTATACTTTGTGGACAAAACAAATATGGATCATTTATTACTGCACTTTGTTCGAGAGACCAGCGTACAAACCAAAGGTCACATATAATGAATCGGCAGACACCTGGGTTGTTCTTTGTGCCAGTCCTTTTCTCCATCTTTAGCACGTAATGTGTGTGCGGATATTCGTTACACGCAAAAAGCCCCGCAACTTGGGTTCCTTTGGTCAACAAGGTGGCAATCTTACGCAAACAGAGGGAGATTTTCAAGCACCTCCGTTTTCCAAAACCATCCATTACTACCTACATTCTGCTGCCCAAAGGATTGTCACATGATGTAACGTAAAGGCAGACCCATCCATCCACATGGATTGTTTCAAAGGAGTAGTGAACCCGCTGCAGCCTTGATGCTTCGACTAATCCACGCCAACAACCACTCGGCTGGGGATGGTTGAGGAAAACACTCCAGCCAACTTCAATCAACGCATGCGTCACCCAATCAGTTATCCGGAATTCATTGCTGTCGGTGATCGATTTATCCATGGATGGCTTGGGAATGGGAGAGAACAACTTCAGCCTAAACTGAATAATTGGGTCTCCGGTACAACAACACCTGCTCTGCGATGTCCCAAGTCGTTCTGGATTTCTGATGCTGATACCCCTGTTGATCGATCCATGGTTGACTTCTTAAATTGGATCACCCTGTTTGACTGCCCACGAGGCAGCACCAACAACTTTCTCTATGGTTGATTATTTGGAGGGGTTTTATAGATGTAGATTTTGGTAGGCAACATCCTGTTCGCTGGGCACTTTCGCATATCAGCCGGGGCAGAAGATAACTAACCTAGGAAATATGCTAATTTGCCTCGCATCATAGCATTATTGGGTTTCACTCGCACCATATTTTAGGAATCCTGTTCTGACACGGGAAAACTGACAGTGATCATCGGTCTTAATCAGATGTGGAGGAGCACAATTAAACATGTCGCAAATTTGTTGCTTGCCCTGCATCTCTCCCGTCACACCTTGGGGTCTTATTATCACCCAAGATCCCAAATCAGGTACCGCAGCTTGCATTGCCGTTACCATCCAAGCCGAGACCCAGTAGTAGTTACCAAGGTCTCACATACACCGCTATAAAAAGTTCCATTCTATGGACTCTGTCCATATCACAGCTGACTCGCCCACCGTGTTGAAGCTAACCTTCTTCGTCCATGGAAACCATCATGTGGAGGAGTCGAACAGCTCCCATGCCTGAAGCAAGCCAACAAAGCTGTCGCAAACGAGATGCCAAATTAAAGCTGACACTATTTGCACAGCACCACTCGCTTCCAGATCTGGTATTCTGTCAATACACGTTGCCTTTCCTTAACCAAAGCCGGAAGAGAAATTTAACAGTATTCATAAAAGAAAGGAAAGTCGGGCTAATAAATTTCAAGTAACTTTCCAGCTCGCATGGTTCTCCAACAAAGGAACACCGGAACAAAGCGCGCCAGAACATGACAACGACCTGACACGAACGCATGGGATTCGATTCCATCCGTTCAATATAACCCGATTTGGTTAATCGACTTCCCCGAAGAAATGACGACGGCGTCAAGGGTTCCATGCAACACGCAGACTTCCAGGTGAACGAAGTATATGACTTTCTCCTTTAATGTTTATGGACGAATCACCTGGCCACATCTTCCACTGTCACGATAAGAACCAGGCCAATGCAGGCCTCCCACTCAGAGATAATTAAATCCTTTCCCGCTGTAGATTAGTAATGAATCCGTATTTTCGCTCAATGCTCAACTTAGCTCCCAAGAAACCAGCCTTTGTTCGCTGGAATAACTTAATCAAGGAAACTCATCATTTAGTTGGCAAACCGTGCTAAGGAAGCTAAACGCCTAAATAAACCCGCTAATAATCGCCCACCCCTAGCTGCCCCAAGCAAAACAGGGGTCGAAACCAGTGACATAGCAGCATAGCAGGAATATTACGGAGTCACATTTGCAGGAGCTGAGGTTTTGCCAACTCTTTGGTGCGAATTTTTGATTCGAACGAGAAAGGGAAATCTTGGGGCCATTATTCCTCTCCTTTTATTTGTTATGGGTGGTCCCAGCCACCAGGCTTCGTCCCGCATCTCGCGAGAATCTTGCCCTGCCCCCAGCAAGGAATCCGCTTGCAGATAAAACATTCCGTTAGGCTGTAGGAAGGGAAATCCACAAAACTATTGAAATTTGATGGCGACTGAGGGCTCCTGGATTTCTAACGTGAGGCTGGCGACTCTCCAGTCCAGATTGAAAACGGACCTCAGTTACCGCCCGTTGCGTGATATTTTGCTGCGCTGTTCCTATCAAGAGAAATAAATCTCTTCTACACATTGTTAACAAGCGATTGACCCCATCGAGAGTGGACAGGATGTTATCGTTTCGCCTAGAATTACCTTCCCACCAATGTCGACATGGTGCGATGAGCACCTATGGGCTGTTTGAGGTTATGCCCTGTCGTCACTTGGCGTCGAGATTCTTATCCGCGGAACCCACGCACCCAACAGCGACAGGAATTTTCCGGAGCCGTGTACTTGTGAGGGACTGAGAGAGATAGGACGACATCTCTTCTTCAGACCTGCGTTTATCAGTCAAACTCCTCCAACCACTCCATATAGAGATCAGGCAAATGCTCAGTATTCAGGACAAGGTTATTCTTGAAATACATGTCAGGATATGTGTTGACGAAAGGGTTCTCCACCTGCCAAGTCCTCATTGCGAAAACTTAATCTAATCCAGCATTGTAAAATCCTCTCTTTCGGAGTCAAATGGTTACGTGGGCTGCACCTGCTAATACTTCTCTGAGAGCAGGGCTATATCTCTGAACTACATACTTGGTATATACATGGTCTTGGACAAGTGCTCTTTGTCATAGATATGGTTTCGTTGGAGAGAGAAGATCAATCAGTCATCCCCCCAGCCATTGATTTTAATACCTATAGCTTGGGTATTTTTGCCGAGTGAAGTGTCACTTGGGGTTGATGGAAAAAAGGTATGTCTTGGAGGGGGGGGAAGGGCGGTATGGACAGTTGAGTCCCCGGAATTTGATTGCTCTATAAGTCGGGAATGGGGAGCCTTGGGTTACCTCCAGCCCTGAAGATTCTCGTCACTGGAAAGTGAAATCGGGGAGATAGAGCTCTGTGGAAACTTCAGATATACAAGTCAAGCACCAATATTTTAACACGAAACCAAGTTTGATCCTGATAAGCATCATAAACTCTCTGCTACTGCGTTATCAAATCTGGCGAATCTGATCTTTTCGACTTTAGTATGCATATTCCGGTTCATCTTCAACCCATTCACCTAATTCCTTGTCAAGGATAGCTAGGGGTGCACAAAAGGTGGAGAAGAATCCTGCTTCTCTTTTCGGGACCCTTAATAGGTCCGTAGTGACATAACAGTCTATCCATTGCCGCCCGTGCCATTTTTCCAGGCGCACTCCTCAGGGATGTCAACCAGATCTAGCAAGTGGCTGACAGTTCTGTTGGAGAGAAACTTAGGCTCTGATGTGAAATACCCCTGAGAACTTGGTATTCATTTTCCCGCATGCCGTTTAGCATTCATTCCTTTCAGGAGATCCAAGTCAAGGAGGGCTTTTGTTTCTTTGTGGAATGGCATTAGAATGGAAACTATGCTCAGATACTTACTCTTTGGCTTTTTAACTCCTGCTCGTTGAAAAACTTATTTTCTGTCTTTGACTGGAAACAGTGAGCAAATCCAATGACCACTTCTTTAATTGTTTCCTTTTTGCGATCACCCTGGCTATTTAGCTTCGTGATGCATACCTCGAACTTAAGTTATAGGCGAGTGCCTTAAAAGATTATAACGAAGATATGTCACGAGGACGTGGGAAAAGCCAAAACCGAACTTTTAAGCCATCGTCAATGGAGTACAAGGCCTTGCATTGGGGCATAAAAAAGACGATTTGCTTGTTGCGTCAATAATTCAAACAGTGCCGTTTCAGCATCCGTGGCGGGTATTCGAATGCACATATATCGGGTCTTGTATTGGAACGAAGGTAAAGCTGTAAAGGCCACTCACCCGATCCTGTTTTGTGTGATCCAAAGACCTCCATCCCGATTGTGCCCTAGGGATGTATTACGAGTATTTCTCCTAGTGCCAAAAAGAAGCCCTGTAAACATGGGCAAAGGGGGTTAGGCTGAATAAAAGCTGCTTGACGTTCCGTGGCATCTTTGTAGGAAGAAAATTTGCTATTCCTTCTCGATGAGGGAGCAAGGTCCAAGCAAACAGCAAGTGTGGTTGGGGGGGTAGTACGTAGAGGAGACAGCAGAAACAAGAAAAAGAAAAGAGAAATATTAATTTTGTCGTATCGGGTGTGCGTAGGGTTCACTATTTAAAAATGGCGACTCAGCAAGCATACTGTATATTTCCCAGTGCTTGAGCCCAGTGGGAACTCCTGAGCCAGTTGTTTTGCATCGTCTTGTGGAACGTTGAAAAAAGAGGTACGTTCAGTGAATATATATATAAGCTGGTCATCCTCATTCCACACAGCCTGACTGACTAGCCCTCTGCTTGCATGCAGCCCTGGAGGTAAAAAGAGTACATGCGATATGCTGATTGGTCTACTTACCTGATACTGATGATCACTCCTCTTAATATGTTGTTCACCTCGGGGTTCTATGATTCAGATGATTTTTATCATTTCGTATATTACTTTCAAATCAAGTTTGTAAATACCATGATATGAATGCTCCTGTAAGATATGCGTCAGAAAGACTCAAAATATGGTTACGTTGATATGTCTTCTGACTCTGGCTTTACCTCATCATGCACAGTTTGATGCAAGTAATAGCAGCTTCTGCATTTGACAGCACACCGACGGGGAATTTGTCAATTTTTGCCTCGTGAGATGGCTGCGTGCTTGGATCCAAGTGCAACTATGACCATACTCCCGAGTAGCATATCATCAGAGAATGAGCATCAACATTCGCAATACCCCAGGAACCCAAGTCCTCCGCTGTCAGGGGGTGAGGGGCCATGGGTACCCAGAGCCCTGTCCTCTCTTTGCCTTGATGGATGGCGGGTGTTTTTTCTAGTCCTGTTGAATATTGTGAGTAACTTGAAACACCTGCCAAGGCGCTGCGATCCACACAACAAATGTGCTGTAGCACGCATTATTTGTACATACAAGGGACTAATGTTTTACAGAATTCGGCCATTTAATGTATTTATTTCGACGATTCGACATCCGACCCCAGCAACAAAAGATTGCCAATGGGAGCGGAGAGGAAGGCATGACATTTGCGGGGAAGAGCAATCAGGGTGTTCATCAGCATCAGTCTCAGCATCCTGATGTCAATCAAAATAACAGCTAATAACTAACTAATTAGAGACTTGAAGATATACCAACACTAGTTCGTGCATGGAGTACAGTGTAGTTATGTCACGTGATTTAGTGGTCATGGTGGCTTGTAATTAACATAGTTTTTCCTTTCTTCAGGTGCATATTGTAGTTAGCTGGAATCCACATACCATACTTCCTTAGTCTATAGAATTTCGTCCATTATTATATGTGGGAATTTAGAATGATTGCATATGAACCCAATATAACCGTGTCATCAAGTTGAACTTTCTGCTGGTTTAAGCAGGGCAAGGGAGCTGTGGAAAAAAAACTACATACAAGAGCGTCAATATGCCTCTCTCCAGTGTCCCTTACCCCATATTTTTCTTCCTCCCATACCCATTTAGCGAGTGTTGTAGATCTCTCGGAGCAAATACTTCAACACTCCTCCTGCGTAAGCTGATTCTCTAGGGAAATATTTGCCATTCTTTATGGTATAAGCCCGCAATTCATCGAGGGATGCAAACAACCTAGCCTGTTGTCCAGTAGTGTTGTCTACCAGATCAACAAGATTGACATGAACGCCCTCTATTTCCTGTGATCACGTAATAAGTCTTCATTGTCTGTCATAAGAAACGGTCTCAGATGATCACCGTACTTACTTTCTTGCAAGCCTTAATGGTCTGTGGTAGAGGATCAATATCAACTGCAATGCACAAACGGTGCCAGCAGTTGATATCATCGGTATCAGAGCCATACAAGTCATTGAATTTCATGACCATGGCATTTTTGAATTCGCGAAGCGCGTTTTTTCTGTCTTGGTTCTGTTTTCCCCATTCAAAGTAGTCACACATTCTGTAGAATTCCGACGCAATCGACTGATCACTGTGATAGTTGAACTGGGGATACTGGTTAAAGAAGGCTGTAACCGGGTCTCCGTTCAAAACTTGCTTCCGCTAGTAGTGGATAGTAGTGGATAGTAGTGGTTAGTTAGTGGCCCCTAATCTTTTGCTGTGATCATTTAAACATTACCTTCCTTGAGTTCTTCTGGAATGAATTTTTAGTTTTTCGAGCCATCTTGAGAGCCGGCTAGCGATGGAACCAAAACAGCGTAACCTGTAATTTTGGGGGTGGGCGAAGGTCAATCTGGTAAGATTTAGAAAGCATCCCAGGGAAAAAAGCAGGAAAGAAGCAACAAAAAGGAAAACGATGGCGAAAAGATCCATCTGCTAATGTGGATAACACTTGTGGTGTGTTATTTCCTTACTACACTGTCTTCGTTGAATCCAGCAAACTTGGCTATTCCATTGGATTCTACCTGCGAAAATCCAAGCAGTGATACCTCCCATGAGCATTCTCACGAGAGACGTGGTCTGGAGTGTTGTCCAAGAGGATACATTTGTGCAAGTTAAGCCTGTGTGGACTTCATCCAGTGAAAGCATGCGCATGTTTCTGAAAGCATCTCTTAACTTGCAAATCTCTTTGCTAGATTGAAACCATTATTGACGTTCACTTCGAAATGGGATGTGTGATATGTTTTCAACCAGCAAGTTATATCTCTTGTAGGTCTCAGGGTACACATTCTGCCAGAACATTAGAATCCCCAGAGTACAGGTTTTTCAGAGTATTAGGGTTCCTATGACAATCTCCTAGCTTAAGGGGACTCAGAAATGGATGAATGATCAGGCAGACATCAACTGGCAGCTTCTCAGAAATCTTTTATCACACACAGAAAATCATGAAGTGCAAGGGTAGATCTCAGAGGTGATGTAATATTGACATCATCACATCAGAAAAGAATTCCTGCAAGAATGCTAACGAAAATGTTTTGAAGTTCATTTCTCAATGAAAGAGCTTTGTCATTGAGCAGGAACAATGTCCAGGCAAATGGCCTTGAGTGATAACAGCTGTAAGACTGGAGCTCACACATGAGAGGTCTGAACAGCCAGGCAAGGCAGCCCCTTTTAGGTAGATTAGCAAGCTGACATCTTCTTGAGAAGAGAGCAGTTAAGTGGCCAATCGGCAGCTCGGGCAGCTGGGCATTAGATCTTAGAACACGGAAATATTTGTCATGGCATCTGACTGGGATCTAATGGTGAGGATATATGACACTAGCCCGGTAGGCAACACCACGCTGAGTAGATCAATGCAAGCACGAATACCAGTTGGTGCCGTACATTCTGATTGAAATCCATTGCAGGTGAGGGACTTGATTCTTCGGAGGCTGGGCTTCATAACTCTAATGGAAGAATTCACGGAGCGTATAATTGCGAGCCGAGTGTTTCCTCTCTCTGTTTCTTTCCCTCCTGTGAATCGAACATTGCGCAGACGGAGCGTACGGGGGGAACTCAACATACGGATAGTTAGTCGTTAGGTATAACTAGTTTACTAGTTAACTAGTTAGTTAAACATTTTCAAGCTCCGGTAAGTTCACCAAACATACTTGGGACTTATCTGCTAGATCGTAGTCGATAGAATGTAGCACGGGAAATCCCCGCTGGCACTGGCTTAAAATACGCAGAGGCTCTGTTCCTGCAATTTTTAGGACCATGATTGAGGAGCTGTTTTGCTATAAGTCTTGGTCCATTTGAAAAATGGGAACTACCGGGCGGCTTTTCCCGTTAATGGTTCTTTTGTTAGCGTCTGTTGCAGGACGGCTGTTTTCCCCTTCTGCTTTGAGATTTAGAACGTTGACATCTTCTGACATTCGCGGACAGTGTTGCTCATGAAGCTGCTAAAGTTATTGAGAGCTGCAGCACACTACAGGAAATTTTTCTTTTGTGGAATTTGAAATCTACCCTGTAATTAGCTATGACCGGTTTCGTTGAAGCAGACTTAACGCGGTTGATGGTAGATTCACAAAAAAATTCTATGCCTTGTTGATCTTTTTGATATAAGATTCTCACCCCAAAAGGAGAGGGGACCCCAAACTCGGAAGAATCCAGCTAACTACACAAAAAAAGCCTGCCAGCAGTAGCAAGTCTGTACGGGCAGATTTTCTGAGATATCCGACAGCCCTAGGGACACCATGTTGGCAGGACAAAATTCTGCGCTCCGTGTAGCCTCATTTACACCATATTTTTTGCGGTGGGGCGATTGGGGATCCACCTAGTTCTGTATAAGGTTATTGCTTTGTTTAGGAGGAAGTCCTGGATGCAAATTCGGGCCACCCTATCTTCGTTATACCTTTCCCGGCTTGAAGAATTGATTTGGCACAAACAGCCGGCCTAACAGAGCCTTGGCCTTCTAGTCATTTTCCAGAAAATCTGGAGAACCCTTGCGGAAGATGTCGGAGAGTGCAGAGTCCACGTCAACCACTGTGCCTTGATGGGAGGCGTACAAAGTAAGCGGGGCCAAAAATAACAACAGCGTCGCCGCATGTGATAACTATGAGGATTTCGATAGGCGGTTTCTTTTTAAAAAATAAAATAAAATAAAATATGAAAAAGGGAAAACAATGGATATCAGCCCCGATAAAGCAGGATAAACATGCGATGAAACAACAAAACAAGAAAAGTTGGATCGGGCGGGCAATGGGATTGGGTGTGTAAGAACCCCGCTTGTGCCTTGCAAGGCACGGGCTTGCCAGTCGGAGCGAGCGAGGGAGTAACTAAATAAAAAGTGGATCAGTCAGCAACCTACTCCGTCGCGGGCATCGCAAACCAACGACGAAAACGAGATAGATAATGCTTTCATATGTTTTTCAGGGATTGCTTGACATGAGATCGCTTTGTCGTGAAATCGCTTGTCTTTGCGCTTTCCCTTTCATTCCAATTTTCAATTTTCTCTCTTTTTTCTCGCTGTAGTGCGGCGCCGAAACAGCAATGGCTGCTAAATTGCTTATGACTCAAGCCAACCTGCTCGCCCGACCGGCTCTCAGGTTGTCGCCAGTGGCCCGCAGCTCTCTGGCAACGTTGTCGCGACATTCTAGCATGTATCGCGGGCCATTGAGATTCACTTCCATATCTAAAGTATCCCATCAAAAATCGTTCCGCAGAGCCTACGCGGATGCGCAAACCGCTCCTCCTCCGTCGTCATCGCTGAAGCCGAAGCAGAGGTTCAGAGTCCTTAGATGGACGTGCAGATTGTTCTTGCTTTCTCTCTTGGGTGGTGTAGGCCTATTGGGGTACAACATCTACTTACTCCGACACCCGGAAGACCAACTTACTCCTGACCTGTCTAAGAAAACGCTTGTTGTCCTTGGTACGCGGACAATCCAATTTTGATGCAGTCGACAATCCTGTTTTGTGTATATGGGGATCGTGCTGATATCTATATGTTTAATTAGGGACGGGATGGGGATCTGTATCTTTCCTAAAAAGACTGGACACGGAAAACTACAATGTCATCGTTATCTCGCCGCGTAACTTCTTCCTCTTCACTCCTCTGCTCCCGTCCTGTACCACCGGTTTGATCGAGCACCGCTCTATTATGGAACCCATCAGGAATATTCTCCGCCAGAAAAAGGCAACGGTAAAATACTATGAAGCGAGTGCCACAAAGATCGACCCCAATAAGAAAGTGGTTCACATTAGCGACGAGTCTGCTATCAAGGGTGATACCTCGACCACGGAAGTCCCCTACGATATGCTAGTGATTGGTGTTGGAGCTGAGAATTCTACGTTTGGTTAGTTACTCTAGAAAATCCGGAAGTATGACTATATTGATAATTCTGTTCTTGCAGGCATTCCTGGCGTTCGGGAGCATTCTTGTTTTCTCAAGGAAGTCGGGGACGCCCAGGAAATCCGGAAGCGGATTATGGATTGCGTGGAAACTGCAATTTTCAAAGACCAAACTGAGGAGGAAGTCAAGAGACTTCTGCATATGGTAGTGGTGGGCGGTGGACCAACTGGAGTTGAGTTCGCTGGCGAACTGCAAGACTTCTTCAACGACGATCTTAAGAAGTGGGTGCCAGAGATAAAGGATCACTTCAAAATTACGCTTGTGGAGGCGCTTCCAAATGTATGGAATTCATGCTTGCCCATCGAAGCTGTGAACGGATGCTAACTCTCCTTTACAGGTTCTTCCTACATTTTCTAAGCAGCTAATTGATTACACGGAATCTACCTTCAAGGAGGAAGAGATCACAATTCTTACAAAGACCTCGGTGAAGAAGGTTTCCGATAAATATATCGAAGCAGAAGCTACAAAGCCAGATGGATCCAAGGAGATGGAGACTATTCCCTATGGTCTCCTTGTTTGGGCCACTGGAAACTCGATCCGTGGTGTCGTCCGCGATCTTATAAATCAAATACCAGCACAGAAGAACTCGCGTCGTGGTCTGGCAGTCAACGAATACCTCGTCGTGAACGGGACCGAGAACATCTGGGCTGTAGGCGACTGTGCTATTACCAATTATGCGCCAACTGCCCAGGTGGCCAGTCAGGAGGGTGCATTCCTTGCCCGCCTTTTCAACAGCATGGCCAAGACTGAAGCTATTGACGCTCAACTGAAGCAGCTCTCGAAGGCACAGGCAGAGGCTCAAAACGAGGAAGCCCGGACCAAAATCCTGGACGAGATTAGAGGGTTACAGAAAGTCCTTCGGAGAATCAAACAGATTGGTCCCTTCCAGTATTCTCACCAAGGAAGCCTCGCATATATCGGCAAAGAACGTGCTGTAGCTGATGTCAGCTGGCTGAGCGGGAACATTGCCAGCGGTGGGACTCTAACCTATCTCTTCTGGCGCAGTGTCTATCTAAGCATGTGCTTCAGCAGTAAGTATTTCCACTTCTGGTAGCCTGCCGGCTTTTTCTTCGAATTTGTTTTAACGCTTTTAAATCCACACCACCACACTCTTTACAACGAGCACACCGTAAAAGACTCTTTATGTCGAAAAACTAACACTCACATTCCTAGCTCGCAACCGGGTCCTCGTCGCGTTTGATTGGTTCAAGGCCAAGTTGTTTGGCCGTGATGTCTCCCGGGAGTAAAGTGCGTTGTGGTATTGCGAGAAACAATCTAGCCTTAGCAATATCCGCCGACCCTCTCCTCAAAAGCCCCCATATAGGTATCTCCCCGAAACAGTCAATTCCAACTTACTTCCGCTGATTTACAACTTCTGCCAACAACTCTTCTCCCCCCATTGTGAGACATTCGATTCCAAATATCACCACGTCCATTTCGTTCAGAACCTATCTAATTTCATAATCCTGGGAACCTCTTTCTTAGATGCGACGCACAGTGAGTAACCGCCGCAAAGCATGAGATAATCGTAATTTCTAGATATTTCCCTCTGATTCCATTCCATTTTTGGCTTTTTTCAACCTTTGTGGCTGGCTTAATCCTTCATCTTATTGTTCTCTAATTTCCGCCCTGGGTTTTCGTTGTTTTAAATAATAATGGATTGGCGTCATAGTGTTCTTTTTCGTTCTTGCTTTTCCTTTCTGGAGGACTGTCTTATCCTAAAAGTCAACTGTATTTTCTATAATGTACCTGTTTTTTCCTTGCTTAGCGTCTCCCTTTTTCGGCTTATCATCTTGTCCGTCCCCTTAATATATTTTGTTTACTCTGATATAATTGTGTCCTTTAACTAATTATAATATTGATCGATCAGGAGCTTGATCACCCTAAAACGCAATTTGTAGTAATGGCAGGGCTATTCTCGAAGCGCGTTTTGTTTACCATCATATGATGCAGATTATTTTTTTTTATTTTTATTTTTATTTTTATTTTCACATTGCTTTGTTTTCGTAGCAACCGGTTTATTTTTTTTTTTTTTTTTCAGCCATTATTTTTTTCTGCAGGAACCTTTCATAATTGAATAGTTTCCCAAAATATAGCTTATTCGCTACACAACTACCATTTTATCACTATATGTGTCTTTGATGTCCTATGTGGATTACGACTGCACCCTGCCAAAATGATTAACTTGATAATGGTTTATGGTTTAAAACCCAGGTGTGGAGGAATGACATGAAGCCTCCCAAGGTCAATCATTCTTCAATAAATATTTCTCTAATGTGCCCATACCCAGCCTCATACCGCTATTCCCTTTCCGTCCTGCAGTGAACATCCGACACGAAGAAGCTGTAGGGACGATGCTCATTCACCATTTGAGTGGGTCTATATAACAGATAATTCCCACGCAGCAGCTTCAAGCTCCATATCTGCACCGATGGTGGTAGGAAAGAGATAAGAGCTGCAGAGTTCCCGTCACATAAATTGGTAGAAATAAGCATCAAAGGAATGTTTTCTCGTATTATCGTTCTTCGGAAGACCGGATTCTAAGTCCCAGATCCCGGGACTAACAGAGAGTGGTGGGTTTTGGTCAACTCGGTTTTCAAGATAGCTTTTTACTCGTCTGTCCCGAAGAGAAAGTAATAAAACGGTAGGTAAAGAATGAATGAGACTGGTGTCCTACAGCTTTATGCGTGGGTTCCCCTCTCTAAACCTCATCCCACGAGGTGTAGTAGGCCATTGGATGTAGGTCTGTTCGGACGAGAAGGTAGAGGTTGAATATGAGTAGGACGAGAGCTATGGCGACTGTTACGCAAGCGATCGTTTTATGTATATCGCCCATCCTGGGCTGCTGCGGATGTGTTTTTACTGCTG